CGGTGGACGATAAATCACGATTTACTGCTGACTATAAAGCTGTTTCATAGTGTAATCTCTTTTACTTCGTCATTATCTTGGTTAAAAGAGAACTTTTCTTATCGTTTAAATAATAAATGGGCCAGTCTTGAATTCCATTTTCACTGAAATGAAGGACTGAAACAATACACTGAATCTTTAGTATTCGTGTCAATCGTTTCCCCAAAGCTTTTGAATTAGACTGAAAGGCGCCTTATGTCTTCAATAGCAATAAAAAATCGCCTCTCATGTTTTAGACCAAAACCCATTCAATTAGTTTTAACCGCCCCATTTATTCGGGTCTAAGTCTCGTATTTCCAATGGGCCACGTGTTTTTTTCTCAGCTCGTCGAGAAAACGTTATTAGTAATAAAATACAGGTGTTGTGGACTCTAATTGCTTCTCTCTCAAAGTTTATGGCCGGAAGGTTTATAAATTACGATTCCCCTTTTTTTTTATTGCTTAGATGTGTGGACGAGCTCACAGCCCACCTGGTGTGAAGTGGTTACTGGAGCCCATAGACATCTACAACGTAAATGCGCCACACACCTTGAGATATGAGTTCTAAGGTCTAAGGATAGATGAACTGATTCTGTCGGCAATACTCATCCTCGACCAGGACCTTCGGACGTGGCTGCGGGACGATTCACGGTAAGTCGTCAGACCTAGGCCATATCCTAATCATGTACTGGTGGTAGAACCTCTAGGTGGTGAGTCCGCGCGGTTAGGTGCCATCACCCTGCCTATTTCTGCCGTGAAGCTGTAATGCGTTTCGGTTTGAAGGGTGGGGTAGCCGTTGATGATACTGAGATCTTAGAACTCATATCTCAAGGTGGGTGGCGCATTTACGTTGTAGATGTCTATGGGCTCCAGTAACCACTTTACACCAGGTGGGCTGTGAGCTCGTCCACCAATCAAAGCAATAAAAAAAAAACAATATATCGGAAAAACCGAAATTTTGCTATTTATTTTTTATATTAAATACATGTCATACATAATAGGTAAAAAATACGTAAAGGCAAAATTAAATGAAGTGGGAGGTAAAATTTAGCGCTATCCCAATGTAACCATTCCACGTGGACAGAGTCGCGGGCAAAAGCTAGTTCTTTTGTAAGCTAATGCGTAATTTTAAAATAGAAATCGGCTTAGTTCCGTCAATTTTCTTTCAATAACCCGGAGCGCCTTCCTCCTCCTCGAATCGTGTTCCTCATGTCTGAGGGTCGTGACCACCATCACCCATGAGCTTCAATCTTAAGATGTTTTTCCACTTTCCCCTGTCCACGGCGTCATGCAGCGCGCTGTACACTGTACTGTCCAAAGCGGTGCGGATCTGATCGGACCAACGAGTCGGGTTGCGACCTCTAGATCTGTTGCCTTCAACTTTCCCTGTGATCATAAGTTTTTCCAGGTTATCGCCGTCTTTCCTCGCAGCCTTATCTTATTCGAGCAAAGCTGTATTGAAAAACATCTTCGCTTCCTAATATCGAAGTACTAATCAAAGAGCAGATCCACCACGCGACAAGGTATCTTCGAAATTAGTTGCCGAAATCAATTCCAAAAGCTCCCCCCGAACTTTTACATTCCCTTCTGCCAACCAAAGAAACTTCAGACGCACAGCTTGGCTACTTTATCTGCCTGTTTTGCATAATTCCATATATTATTTAAGTTGAATTCTCAAGGAGATCGTTAGCATAATATCAGGATGTTACATCGCATATTAATGCAGGAGTTTTGGATTCGAACAGGATTTTCGTTAGGACTTTTTCGTTCCAGAGGGATTAATGATTTCCTATTGGTTTTATGTCTTACCATTACGGTTCAAGCGAGAAGAGGCTGGCTTTGGAAGTCGTGTGGGAATATTAAAATTAATATTACGGATGTAACGTACTGACAAATCTATACTAATATTATAAAGAGGAAAGGTTTGTTTGTTTGTTGGTATTGAATAGGCTCCAAAACTACTGAACCGATTTGAAAAATTCTTTCACTGTTTGGAAGCTACTCCCAAGTGACAATGGCTATAATCTTTTTTGAAAAAAATTAGGGATCCTTACTAGAACTCCAATAATGTAACCCAAGGTGTAAAAAAATTACCTAAAATATTCTTTACATCGCGTGCCCTGCGAAAACTATTGATGATAGAACAAAATAATGTACTACGACTTTGGAGGACATATTATTACTTACAAAAAATGTCGCAACAGTATCTAACTATTATAGTTATGCCGCAAAACAACGTCAAATATCGTTGAAGTTTTTGGTAAAGACCCAAGCGAAGCCGGAGTGGGCCGCTAGTATATTATATATTATATCATAGCACTAACTCTTTTGAGCAATTGATTGACATAAGCTTGACGGTGCATACCGAAAAGAAAATCTCAAAACTCTACAAAACATTCAATTTGTGGATCTCTAAAATTAAATGATACTAGCTTCATATCGGCCATACTAAAATCTAACATATCGAATGCAATTTCGGTGATGGTAACACCTTGCAGAAGTAATCTTACCCAAAAGAAAACCTTATAGAAGACCTTACCTAAAGAAAATCTTACAGAAGTAATGCGACTTTAGTACCTCGCTCTATTCTAGACTACTAAGGCTCATATAAATGAAGATGTAACTAATGCTGCACCGATGAAATAGAAATCTATGTCTGGCGGTCTATATGACACTGTTATGCCAATCAAAACCAAAGGCTTATTTCTTTTAAATTGCCGCCACTGCTTTACGATGCCGGAAGCTCCTTGAAAAAGCAAAAATAACTACACTCACTGGAAACTTTATAGCTGATGGTAGCATATTTTGTGAGTCCTTAAGGGTCGGTACCACCACCCTGCTTATTTCTAACGTGAAGCAGTAATGCGTTTCGGCTTAAAGTGTGGTACAGGTGCTGTACTGTAAAAACTGACCTTTGAAATCATGTCTCGGGGTGGGTGACGGCATTTACGTAGTAGATGTCCATGGGCTCCGGTAACCATTTAACACCAGGTGGGCCGTGAGCTCGTCCACCCATCTAAGTAACAAAAGAAACAAAGCTATGATATGGTGTATGTGTCTATGTGTGTTAAAATAAAGTACGAAACGAAACTTAGATGGCATGGCCACATTAGGAGACAGAATGATAGTCAGTGTAAATGGTACACAAAATCAAGCTACGAAGCTACGAATGAGGGGCTACGAACCAATGCTGGCATGGCTACGAACCAAGCTACGAATGAGAGCCCAAACACAAGTCTTTTAATGCACCACTGTCGAGTGAAACCTGAAATAGAAAAATATACCTTAATCGTATCCACCCAGGATAGACTTTCCGTTGCATAGACGGATGATTAACTCATAGCTCATCTTATATATTTTTTTTATGTTTGAAGGAGTACTGTTGGCCCGGAGACCTTTTCAGTTTCACCAGGACAGGTGGGTGAGCAAAGGCTCAGCCAGGAGGGGTGGGATTTGCTAACAGCTACCCGAGCGCCTCCAAAGGAGACCTAACAGCTTAAGAGTAGCTGCTTCGCGAATGAATCTACTACCGGATCGGAATCGCGACCCGCTGAGAAGATCCGGCGAGAAACTCAGCGAGCTGATTCATGGGTTAGGTTGCACGGCGAACTCTTTGTCGAGTTCGACGAGTACGGTTACCGGGGTCCCTAAGCCTGCTCCTAGTGTTAGAGCTGAAGGCGTCATCTAATATTAAGTAGTTATTGGAGCCCATAAGCATCGCCTTCAAATTGGAACGCACAAATTCATCAAAGACAGTGCAAAAGCTCAGTACAAATTCTCTTATTAAATTCAGTTTTAAACTAATTCATACGATTTTGAAAGCAACGAAAACGAAGAGCCGTAACCGCCCTACTATATTATGATAATCGAAAGATCCAACACATTTGTGTGAATAGCCCTCCTCGACTCGATTTCGGCCCACTGAATAAATGATGAGCCCTCAACAGTTACATGTCCCACGTAATTTATATACGGCGAGGAAAACTGATTTTTTTTGACGAGGTTTTTTTATGCGCTTTTTTCTCTTCGCTTTTTTCACGGCACGGTTTGGTCTAGCTTGGTCTTTGATATCCTGGTCCAAATATACTAAGTTTCAATGATTTTTATAATAACTTGGACTTTGGCAAGCTAAGAAGCTCTGGTGTTATTTAATCTACACAGCCCAATTCATATTCATTGCGAAGTGCTTAACACTGGCTTGGACTCAAATTAAATATATGAGTTAAGCCATTGCTTCTCGTTCCAATGTCTTTAGGCTTCTTTATATGTATATATATATATGTTTATGTGTGTAGATACGGGGCGTCTCTTCATGTGTCACAACTAACAAATATTATTGGCTCAATTTAGATGGCGAGATGCCAAAAAAACCTTAAGGAATGTGGTACTTCCTCAAGTAAAGGCCACTGTTGCACAGAACCCTAGACTAACGGTCGTCAGCACCACGTCAGACCTCGGTCAACGGGTCACGCTGGTGTCACGTGCGTCCTCTTTCTTTTACCTAACTAAGCTGGTAGCTTTGAGAGGCTATGCCAGCATAACCGAACGAGTAGGTGAGCTCACGGGGCTCTAACCTGAGGACGTTGCTAATACTAGCCCTAGCAAGAGCAGTGCTTCGCTGAATCTACCACCGGATCGGAAACGCGACCCACTGAGAAGACCCGGCGAGAAACTTGGTGGCCTGTGTCTGTGGGTTAATTTACTCGCCGGACCCTTCGTTGCAAGAGACGAGAAAGATGACCGAAGGGCATCCTCAAAATACCGCGATGTGTTTGACAGTCAAGTAGTCATTTTTTTCTTTGTGGTGCAGTGAAATCGAAGAGATTTTGAAACAAAAAAGAATCATTTGAAACATATGTTTTCAGTTAATTTCAGATTCAATTATATTTAAATCTTTTCATTAGAGCCTTAAACGTTTATTACTATTTTTTAAGTGTCCAGAGATCAATTAACTTTGGTTTTGATAGTTTAATTTTGTTTCAGCGTGTGGGCTGCGATCTTCGGGTTGGTTCAACGAGGAGGGTCGATGAATGCGGTGTCTGCGGAGGAGATGGGTCATCCTGCTCTCGACCGAGGTATCACTGGCTGGCTACGCCTGGATCTCTATGTTCTGCTACATGCGGAGGCGGTAAGTTCTGCATCCTCAACAGCGTCTAAGGTCTCGGATGTACATCAAAAGCAAATCAACGACCGTCTCAATTCTGCTCCAGGCTTCTTTGAAATATGATATATCTTTTTAAACACCTGAAATCCTTTTATCCTGATGATGAATGAAACGTCTAGGTTTTATTTTAATGGAAAATTACGGACCAACAACACCTTTAGCCTTCCGTGACCAACCTAAAAGTAAAATATCAGACACTTCGAAAATAATAACGACTAAAACCGCAAGATTAAACTGTAACAGTAGTTTTAAATAAGATACCTCATTTATTTTAACCAACAATGGGCAAAATAAAGCACCAAACCACGTGGACACAGCACGATCAAGTATCATTATAGAAGCAGTATCATATATATATAGCATTATATGTATATAGATATGACGGATAGACGCTGGTTCCATGGTGTTTTTAAAATGATGACGCCTTATTCTTCATCATTATCATTGCCTTCCATAGTGACAGTAGTTAAGACTCACTTTACCAATGAATTCCATTTATTACATTTCAAGTGTACAGAGAAGAACAGAGAGCTCCGCCTCAGTCGGCTGCTCGCGCTGGAATGTTTTGTGTGTTTTTTTTACTACTTATGCTGATAGCCTTGAGAGGCTATTTCGGCTTGGCCCTAACATGTAGGAGAGCTCACGGTGCTCAAACCGGAGTTTTGCTTACACTAGCCCTAGCAAGAGCAGTGCTTCGCAGAATCTACCTCCGGATCGGAAACGCGACCCACTGAGACGATCCGGCGAGAAACTCAGTGGGCTGTGTCTGTGGGTTTATTCGCTCGTCAAGCGCTTCGTCGCAAGCGACAGGTTCGACGAGGACGGTGACCAGGTTTTGTGCGACAATTGTCACGCGTATTTATAGTAGAAATTGGGGGTAGCCCAGTCATGAATTCTTTTGAATACCATCTTAAGCAGTTGTTGACATGCGTAACATTAAGGAAACAGTTAACATTAACTATTTTTTAGTTAACCAAATAGTGACGTCGCGCCGACAGATATATGATAAGTAGATAACATTATAAATAGATAACATTATATACAGAAGTATCATCATAGCATTATATCGGGGGGTAAAAGGTTATATATAAGCAGTTTAAGCGACTTTTCGCTTAATAGAAGCTAGAAGATTGCACAAAGTGGGAATGAGTTGCTCGCTCCGGGCATTTCAATATTAAAATAAAATATATCTAATATTTCAAAAAAAAGACATGCCCGCTGAGTTTCTTGCCAATTCTTCTCAGGACGGAGGCTAGTTCTTGTGAATTGGCGGTAGTTCTTTTGACGTTCAACAAGTATGTACTTTCATTTATGTTGAATAAAACTTTTTTGATTTGATTTGATTTGATATGAATATTTTGCCCCATTTATCTTTGTAATTAAAGGTTCGTTATATTTGGTATTAGCATCAACAATACGATGTTTTTAATCAAACTTCAATTATGTTTACATAATTCAAATAGCTGAAGAACTTTTGTTTTTCGTGATATTGTTTTCCAAATTTTAAATTTTATAGAAATATCGTATAGAAATAACTAAACTAAAAAGTAAATAAATAATTATTTTACATCTGTCAGATAATTCATCTCATTCACTTTACCACTCTATCACTATCAAAATAAATATTTAAATATGAGTTATGAATCATTTAAATTACGCACAATCACATTACGTTTGTCGAATTTCCACGGAAGGAACCTCATTATAAATGAAGTTTCCAGAAAGGCTGACGGTAAGAAGTCAAATGATAGAGCTCTAAGTACTATCAAGAGTCACTTTAATTAAACACTCCTATGTAAAGGGTCTTTTATATCATAAAATAAATATCTTTCTTAAACCTTTAAACGAGCAATTCTTGTATATATATAATCTGAATCTCGGAAACGGCTCCAACGATTTTCATAAAATTTAGTATACAGGAGATTTCGGGGGCGATAAATCGATCTAGCTACGATTTATTTTCAGAAAATGTTGTTTTATTCGTGTTTTCAATAATCAACTTTTCCTGACATCGATTGGCGAATAATAATACCATTTTTCTTAATTGAGGGCAACTAACCGCTTTAAAGACGCATCATCTAGTAGTGTTTTTAGATGTTGAACTTTTTTTATTACTTAAATTGGTTGACGAGCTCACGGTCCACTTGGGGTTAAGCGGTTACTAGAGCCCATAGACATCAACAACATAAACTTACCTTGGAACATAAGTTCTAAAGTCTAAGGTTACGTGTTCGCGTTCCGCATATGTTCCCTTTATGTTCCTGATATTATTATTACCTTCCATTTATATTCTTTGTCATCGTCTCTTTTCCACTTTCTTCCAAAAAAATTGAATTTTTTCTAGCTGAATGGTTTCGGTTTTATTCCTACCCACATTGGTCGGGGATTTTGTTTTCGTTACATGCTTTTCTTTCTTAACCTACTTTCCCGCGTTACCCATCAGCTGTTGCACGGAGTCAATGACCTCGAGAGACACGTCTGCCTTAGATTAGTTTCAATGAATTTATAAAAATATGAATTAACTGTCTTAGGATAATTCACAAATGAAATAATCCGCTACAGCAATTTTGAGCGTCAGAAATCCAAACCGCTTGTGGCCTAATATATTAAAGCAACATTGTTAATTGCAAACGTCGGCCTTTGTAATTTATATCACAGGATCCGCCATTAGTCGAAGCCTGCGATAAATCAGTGCAGAAATTCCTTTTGTCTTGAGTCGAGCAACAGTTTCTTGGCGGGCGCGGTCGACGGGCGATTTTTTTGTTGAAGTTATGTTGCTCGATTTTGTTCCGCTGAATAACGAATAAACAATCGATCTGATGGTTTAGTGCTCGAATGATAAATAGTATAACTAAGTGTCACCATACCCTTTTAGCCGTAAGACAGTATTGTGACATGGTTGTGGATTCAAAGTGGGACTACCCATAAATGGTTGGTTGGTTTTTATTATACTTTCACAATAAAGAAAGTTAACCTCTCTTATTATGTACCTGTAAGTACAAAAAAATTTGCAAAGGCTGATCAGCCAAAACATAATAATCGCTAGACTCTAAATGTTTTGGATGACCTAATAATGTAAGCTTAATTATTTGTGAATTTCTGTCCGCGCATTATGTTATTAATATTTCAATTCCTTATATTATATTTTCTTACCTTTCATGGGTAGCTTTTAACTTGTATCTGTCCTATATTTTTCGCAAAGCAAACATCACGAGTATATTGAAACTTTTCTAAAATTAGTTTTACGGTTGACTCCTATCAATTCCGTTATAGGTAGAATAAATTTAATATAAAAAAAACTTATGCACTACTTAGGTACAATCTATGTTCATCAAAATTCTGAATCCAAAAATTATTTTTTTTAAGCACTGTCGACTAAAAAGTTGCCCATTTGCTAAAACAACAACAAAATTTGTGAGGGTCGATTCTAATTAAGAACCCCGAGAAAGATGAATACCAAGATAAGAATTAGCAGCCGTGAATGTGGCTGGAGAGCTATTTGTATTGTTCTGACCTCCGGAAGGCGTGATGGACGGTTTGCCCAAAGAGTTCAACAAATGTTGCCTCCAAAATTGGCTAAGTAATTTTTTTTTTCATGCTCATCATGAATGTGCTTCTTTAAGGGAGTTTAAGTCCTAAATACTTATAATTGTGAATTGTGGGTATCAATTAATAGTAGGCAGCGCATTACCAATAGCTTCCGATATAAGGAAGCAAACTTTAGTTGTTGTGATGAAGTATCTGCATCCTTTCGACAACCTAGTTAAACAACCCTTTATTTTTCTCTGGGGGTCTGCCTAAATTTGCCTAATCCATTCAATCCATAATAAATTCTAAGAGCCTTAAGATATATTTTTAAATTACGCGTATTTTGATATCTTCTTTTCGCAATAATATTATGTATTCTCCAAATCATAACTTCATATTGCTCCGATGTAGTCTCTAACTGGGGCAGGGTCCACAGATATGGTAGCATAGGTGGATAGATGACCCGGTTTTTGTGAAATGACCCTGAAATTAACACCACCAGACAAAAAATCGATTGTTTTGTATCGGTTTTCGCACCTTTGTAGTTCTACATGATATAATATATGGATAAGCCGTACCTGCGTACAAGCCTTTCTGCAATAAGGTAAGCCTGCACTTTCTCAATACTTCACAATTACAAAAATCTATATTATGTATATGCAGCTGAAAGATAACTATACGTTACCTCGGGGTCGTTGAACCTACGAATCAATTTGTGTTACATTGCGTGCTATGCAAATAGCTTTAGAAAGCTACTTTTTTTACCATGATTATTTTGGAATCATTGGCTCCATGTTTATAGCCGCCAATATATAACTACTATTGAACTTCTTTTTTTTTAATGCTTTGATGGGTGGACGAGCTCACAGCCCACCTGGTGTTAAGTGGCTACTGGAGCCCATAGACGTCTACAACGTAAATGCGCCACCCACCTTGAGACATAAGTTCTAAGGTCTCAGGTATAGTTACAACGGCTGCCCCACCCTTCGAACCGAAACGCATTACTGCTTCACGGCAGAAATAAGCAGGGTGGCGGTACCTACCCACGCGGACTCTCAAGATGTCCTACCACCAGTACTATTGCTATAACTAATGCTTATTATATTTCAAAAGTGTAACAGATATAATGATTTTCTCTGTACACTTCAGATTATCTCTGGGTTCGCAGCGGCTCGTAACAGAGCGCTTCAATTGTTAATTAGGTGTCGGTCTCCAAATGATGAATAGAGTGGGCCCTTTTGTGCGAGAGGGTTGAGCGAATCACGCCCTTTGATTCCGTTAAATTGGATTTTTTTATTAAATTGTCGGATGTTTTTGAGGGTCCTTAATTGGAAAGAGGTTTTAATGTAGATTTACTAGTACAGTAAAAGCGTTTTTACGTTATCACTGTTCGCGGATTAAAAAATGCGGCCCGATTCCTATGTTCCATTGGGGCTCCCAAATACCAGCTTCTTCCATTTGACTCCATACAGAAGAGGGCCGTTCGGATTGTTGATAATCCCATTCTCACGGATCGTTTCGAACCTCTGGGTCTGCGGAGGGACTTCGGTTCCCTCTGTATTTTGTACCGTATATTCCATGGGCAGTGCTCTGAGGAATTGTTCAAGATGATACCGGCATCTCGTTTTTACTATCGCACTGCCCGCCACCGGAGTACAGTTCATCCATATTACATGGAGCCACTGCGTTCATCCACAGTGCGTTTCCAGAGGTCTTTTTTGCCACGTTCCATCCGGCAATGGAATGAGCTCCCCTCCACGGTGTTTCCCGAGCGCTATGACATGTCCTTCTTCAAACGAGGCTTGTGGAGAGTATTAAGCGGTAGGCCACGGCTTGGCTCTGCGCCTGGCATTGCTGAAGTCCATGGGCGACGGTAATACTCACCATCAGGTGGGCCGTGCGTTCGTCTGCCTACAAGGGCAATAAAAAAAAAACGTACACATTAATAAAATGAATTCAATATGTAAGTATCCAATCGAGTATCCTTTGTAAGCGCATCGGCGTTTTTTTTTATTGCTTAGATGGATGGACGAGCTCACAGCCCACCTGGTGTTAAGTGGTTACCGGAGCCCATAGACATCTACAACGTAAATGTCGTAGTCGTCGTGGCCTAAAGGATAAGACGTCCGGTGCATTCGTATCGAGCGATGCACCGGTGTTCGAATCTCGCTGGCGGGTACCAATTTTTCTAATGAAATACGTACTCAACAAATGTTCACGATTGACTTCCACGGTGAAGGAATAACATCGTGCAGTAAAAATCAAACCCGCAAAAATTATAATTTGCGTAATTACTGGTGGTAGGACCTCTTGTGAGTCCGCACGGGTAGGTACCACCNAAAAAAAAAAAAAAAAAAAAAAAAAAAAGATATGAATTCTAAGATCTCAGTATAGTTACAACGGCTGCCCCACCCTTCGAACCGAAACGTATTACTGCTTCACGGCGGAAATAGGCGGGGTGGTGGTCCCATGCGGACTCCCAAGAGGTCCTACGATCAGCGTTGATCAATATGATCAAAAACTTCAATTTAATTCATTTTTTTATAAATGTACTTGTTTTTCATTTAGTTACCTTGGAACGCATCCCCTATAATCCCATATACACATGTAAATTACCATTCCGTATTCACGATTTTTGTATTCACAGCATATTCGCGCATAACATCGGCAAATCAAGAACTTTTACTTTAAAATTACGTCGAGCAATGTATCGGCAAACAATTCTCGATTTATGTTACAAAACTCACTGGTGGTAGGACCTCTTGTGAGTCCGCACGGGTAGGTACCACCACCCAGCCTATTTCCGCCGTGAAGCAGTAATGCGTTTCGGTTCGAAGGGTCGGGTAGCCGTTGTAACTATACTGAGACCTTAGAGCTTATATCTCGAGGCGGGTGGCGCATTTACGTTGTGGATGTCTATGGGCTCCAGTAACCACTTAACATCAGGTGGGCTGTGAGCTCGTCCACCCATCTAAGCAATAAAAAAAAAAGGTTTTACATAGTTCAAATAATATAAAAATAAAAACACGCTTAAATAGCAATCCGAAATAACAATTAATTTCTTCTTTTGTTTTAATATGCTGATACTCAGTAGTATCAGTGGTATTATTATCTGATACGTCTACAAATTTTCAAGTGAACCAAACGTCTTAGGTAATATAACAATGAATTTTTGTTACCCTTAGGTTATTAAATGTCTCTAGCCGTGTAGTAGATATTTAAACTATGTAAAACCTTTCGCTAACCTTTTTAAACTAAAAAACACATGTGGCACTCGGGGACTGCTGCGATAAAGCTATTGCATAGCATTTTTTATCAACTTATGCAATTATAAATAGACAATAACAGTTTAATATTAAAACAATAATAAAATAAGACCACGCTATATTTATAAACATTAACTGTTCCCTTCACACTCATAAGCTAGACCGCGCGAGAGAGAGATGGGCAGACTTTTCATGATGCGCATGCAGTGCGACGTCACGCCGCGCGCTTATTCATAAACACTACACAAGCGCAACGTGTGAATGTGTTGAACGCGAGTTACATAGTAGACGGAGTGAGGGGTGTTAGGTTTTATTTTCGTTAAATGAGTCGACTATTATCAAAGCCGGCAATGTGACTTTTGGACAATTATTGGTAAATCAGAAAAACGAATTATTGACTTTGTATTCCATTGGCAGTCACAAAACTCTTCTGAACGACATCTTAGATAAATAACAGGTTAAGTATTAACCTTTATTTAATGCAGGTTTTGAACCGTATTCTTTGAAGGAGACGATTATATTCANAATGAGTCGACTATTATCAAAGCCGGCAATGTGACTTTTGGACAATTATTGGTAAATCAGAAAAACGAATTATTGACTTTGTATTCCATTGGCAGTCACAAAACTCTTCTGAACGACATCTTAGATAAATAACAGGTTAACTATTAACCTTTATTTAATGCAGGTTTTGAACCGTATTCTTTGAAGGAGACGATTATATTCACATCAATCTGTATTGACATATCAATAATTTTTTTTTGTCCAAATGCACAGATTGCCACCTTTGATAATAGACGACTCAAATTTAGAATTTCTTGATTCGGTCGCCGCGCTCAAAGCCCACTATGAAAACTATGCAATAGCTTAAAAACACGCTTAAATAACAAACCGAACTAACAAATAATTTCTTTTTTTTTATCATGTTAATACTCATTATACTCAGAGGTCAGTCAGTCAGGTCATCAGTGTTTGATACGTGTAAAAACTTTCAAAGGAACCGAAAGTCTTAGGTGCTATTAATGAATTGTTGTTGCCCTTAGGTTACAAGATGTCTCTGGCCGTGTGTCGCGACCGGCTCACGGGATCAGACGCTCCCGAAGAACTCTGTGACGCCTCAAGCAAACCTCAAACTTCGGTCATGAGATGTAACACGCACCCGTGCCCTTTCAAGTATGTAACATTCCACTTATAATTTTATGGACGGTAGGACAGTTCGAAGTTCATTCAGAATTCAGAATACTCAACAATTGTTCACGATCGACTTCCACGGTGAAGGAATAACATCGTGTAATAAAAATCAAACCCGCAAAATTATAATTTGGGTAATTACTGGTGGTAGGACCTCTTGTGAGTCCGCACGGGTAGATACCACCACCCTGTCTATTTCTGCCGTGAAGCTGTAATAGGTTTCGGTTTGAAGGGTGGGGCAGTCATTATAACTGTACTGAGACCTTAGAACTCATATCTCAAGGTGGATAGCGGCATCTACGTTATAAATGTCTATGGCAATTTAATATTTAAAAAAAAATAAGAAAATTGAAATTCAACTAAAAAAGGAAAATATAAATAATAGTTTTTAAAAACAAAAAAATGGTTTTATAGAAAATCCAACTAAAAAATAGAAAATAAATTTTAATAAATTTGAATTAAAAATAGTGTAATAAAAAAAATTTTTATTGTAAAAAAAGCGTGGGGTGCTTTACAGGATATTATCAAAATAACCCTTCTACTCATTTCTGTTCATAAAATGTTTATAACTACTGATACCATGCACCCCACGCTTTTTTTTAGTTAGTTTTTAGTAAAACCGTATTTTTTTTGTTTTTTTAAACTATTATTTGTTTGGACTAATTCATTCCTATGTGAAACACGGTCACCTCTTCATTGGTTCATCGATTCTGCTTTTTCATTTCTATTAAATTTTCTCAGGTGGTATGTTGGAGAATGGTCATCATGTAGCGTTACTTGTGGCGGTGGCGTCCGCACTCGACGCGTGCTGTGCGCTAGATCGGCTAACGTCACGACCGCTGACACTTACGACCCAGGTAATTAAGTTTAATTTCGGGTAACACCGTTACCTTTAGTTGTGTAGTATAGAAGCAACATTATATCGAGGGGTTATAGGCTATTTGGCTTGTGCGACATTTTTGCAAAGAGCTTTGAAACTTAAAATTTAGAAAAAAAATCATGACAAAAAATCTTCTCAGCTATTTATTTGAACTAAAGGTCCCGCAGTAGTCGAAATTCGACTATAATTAATTGGAATTGTAAGTTTGTACACTATTATGATTGTATTTTATACTTCTATAATCACAAAATTCGCCAAGACTACACTATAATTTTTTTTAACAAAGACAAACAATATTTAATTTATTCTCAATTTGACAACAGACGTCAAGAACAAAAGTTTGACAATAAATAGTACGCATGCGTGTGTGCGTCAAATACCTGATATGTAGTCTGTGTAATGTTTTCTTTATTGATTTAATGTATCTTATAAGCATTATTTAAAAAAAAAAATTAGCATTGTGCACTTTTTCTCTATATTCTCTATAATTGTAGAAAATTTCATACTCCTCCGTCCGCGCAGTTTTCGTAAAAAGTTATACAAAGTTTTTGCTTCACGTATTAATATATAGAAGATGGGATTTGAATGCTAATTGAATAAATGAAGTTTAATTCAAAATATGGAATTGTTGATCTAATACCAATTAAAACGGACCATTAATTACAAAGATAAATGTCGCTTATTAAGCGAAATGTCGCTTAGACGAAATAGCCTTCACCTCTCGATATTTTTCATCGAAGCTGTAAATCAAATATTTCGTGACGTCACTTCAAGAAAGGATTAGGGGATTAGAGGGGGAAGAGGTCGACCGAAGAAGACATGGATGGAGTGTGTGAATGACGATATGAGACAGAGAGAGGAGTGAGTGTTGAGATGACGGCTGATAGAAGAGAATGGAAGAGAAAAACTAGCTGTGCCGACCCCACCTAGTGGGATAAGGTGGAGAAAAAGAGACTTAAAAAAAGGATTACGGGATATATTTCAGAGTAATTTATTTGAATCGTTAGTGTTTTTATTGGTCTAAATAATTAAGATATTATTCATCATCATCATCATCAGCCTGCGGCAGTCCACTGCTGGACATAGGCCTCCCCCAAAGCTCGCCACTGAACCCGATCTTCGGTTCGATATTATTACGTTGATTTATTTATAATAATTGAACAAAAATTACATTATTTTCATAATTTACAACATGCTTTGAAAGCACGCTGTGAGCTAACTTATCTAGTGATTTCTTCCAGTCACTCTTCGAGTATATAGAATTAAAATTAAATTGAATAGTTTAGATAAAAGCTTAAATGAAAGCAAAAAAGGGAGAATAAAACATTAAAGTAGACAAAATAAATTTAATAAGTCTTCAAAAACAGTTTCTAGAAAAATCTATACCAATATATAAATCTAGAGTGGTTTTTACGGATGCTCCGTTATAACTACTAAATCATGCATCCGATTGACTTGAAACTTGGTATCCATGTAGAAAATACGTGTACTTAATGGACAGGGTAATATTTATATGAGTGTTGAACTCCCTACACCAGTTCCGGGGGCGTTAATGATGAGTATCTTTGTGGGGGTGAGAAATAATAATGTTAATTTTAAATGCCTCGCGAAGTGGACGGGTACAGCTAGTACATTTATAAAGTTATATATTATTAATTTATAAGTTACTAGCTGTCCCGGCAAATATTGTTTTGCCATATATAAGATTTCTAGGGAATTCCTAGTGTAGAAACAAAAACTAACTTATTTTAAGTGTGTAAGGATGTGGTAAATGAGTGAAAGAGGCATGTAGCGCTGTGAACGTTGAGGGAATTTATAATATAAATAACAAAACCTCATTCAACCACATAATACCTCATTATAACAAAAAAAAAGGCCAAATAAAAAAAAATGTTAGGGGGAGACAACCCTAATCACTTAGGGGTATGAAAAATAGATAATAGCCGATTCTCAGGCTTACTGAATAGGCATAAAAAATTTCATGAGAATCGGTCAAGCGGTTTCGGAGGAGTATGGGAACGAAAACTGTGACACGAGAATTTTATATATTAGATAAAGTTATATTATTAATGGCAATTGACAAAACAATGAATATTTTTTTCTATCTTCCAAATAATACTTTGTTATAGGCACGAGTACAGAGCCCGGATGCCTGACACCGTCTCCGAGGTCCTCACAGGCTTGCAACCAGCACGACTGTCCAACTTGGGTAGCCGGACCGTGGTCCGGGGTAAGTTCGCTAATTACAGACTTATTACACTAGCAGCAAAGAAAAACCAGCCTCATTGACCTTCAAGTCACTGTGAATTTGTACTGGTGGTAGGAAGTCTTGTGAGTCCACACGGGTAGGTACCACCACCCAGGAAGCAGTAGTGCGTTTCGGTTTGAAGGGGGGGGCAGCCGTTGTACTGCTAAAACTGAGACCTTGCAATTCGTGTCTCGAAGTAAGTGGCGGCATTAAGTTGTGGGTGTCTATGGGCTCCGGTAACCACTTAACACCAGGTGGGCCGTGAGCTCGTCCAACCATCTAATAAAAAAAATATCCAAACTGACTTTCGTTTTAACCCCTTTGAAGGAATGAATGAAGGACAGGTCAGATTCTGAGGAACAAAACCCCGATACGTGGTATTAATTTTAGTGTTTTTACCATAAAAGTTATTGGCCTTAAAATGCCACGTTGCGGGTTGGTGAATCCACTTTTTCAAGGGTACTTAAGTCCTCGGGACGGGTGGTAGCCCTATCTACAATCATTGCAGAGGCCGGGATATTTCAATATGGTATATTTCTTATCTATTCCTGGAAGGGAATGGATGGGAAATGCAAGAAACCCAAAAATAATGGAGTGCATTTGAGGATACCTACACTCAGCATTGGGTGGACAAGGATTGAAGAAGAGGTGGTATTTCGCAAAAAAAATCTTCAATGCAACCATAGACAAACGCAATTATTTCGTGAATGCGTTTTATTTCTAAAAACATAGATTAGTGTCATTTTAAGCAACTGCTGAGTGGACTGGAATATACAGAACAAAACATAAATTGAAAACTGGGAAAAATTTGTTGCGGATACATTAGTTTTTTTCGTATCCGAAAAGAATTCATAACACAAACATTTGTCCTGATGATTTCGCCAAAGAAACGTCAACAAACTTACAAATCGTAGTTAATACCGGCCATAAAATAGAGCATACACTGCACGTGTGCTTAACGTTATCTAAAAGCATCGGAAACTCTACAATGTTGAAAACTTTAAGCTCGCAGTGTTTCTGTTTTACTCGCAATGATATAAAGACGTTACGTGTTCCCGTCTCTCACGTGGAACGAATTGTATCTGTTTGGAACATTAGGGCAACTTTGGGTAGTTCGCGTTTTGAGTAGCCAGTTTTCGAAGTTAACTGTTGCACTTCGGCAACTTTTAACTACGACTCACCTAGTGTTATTTTGCCGTTAGAAACCTTGAATAGTACTACCATTTGAATATGTTAAGCCCTTTTTGACGTGACGCTGCACGCACGCAGAAACATGACTCATGCGGCGTTACCTCGCTCTGAGGCGTTCCATTTAAGGCTTGAAGTGCAAGCGAGAGCGCGCAACGAGCGACAAAGAGGCACAATCGGCCTCCGCGTTCGGCAGCGTTCGACATCTGTCTCTCTCCTACTTGAGTGAGCGATGCATCTGCGTGGACAGCTGCTGTGCAATACAATACGTGCTATACAATAATACATTCACATGTTTTCGTCAAGTATGAAGTTCAGTGAAAAGTGAATGTGGTGTCAATTGTTTATAGCAACGATAATTGCGGCGCTTCGAAGAATCAATTCAATAGTGATTTCCATTTACCTCCTTCTCTATATCCATACAAAATATCTATAACACAAATTTATTTAAAATTTTCTTTTGAAAAATGAAACCATTCCATCAGTACTTTCTTGTCACGTTGTCACGTTCAACTATCGTCAGTAAACCTACTTTACATACTACCGATTTTTTTTTATAAAGAAATTTGGCTCCAATTCCCTTGGCATTGCCAATATTACAGTAATGTTAAGCCTTATTTTTTTTGCAAATCAATAAGATTCCACATCCCATTTGCTGCCCACGTACAGATACCGACAATGCCCGAAGTACACCCAAGCCGTACCGTAAAGAACTTACGTAAAGCTTCAATTAAAATGGGAAACGTCACAGCGCTAAGAAAACATCGTGGGGGAGATCATTTCAGAACTTGATGCTATTGGAATAAAAACATTAAACCGTATACGTAAGATTGTTTTGACGTAAGAAATGAACAATATTGCAATTCCACCAAAAATACCGCCAACACATTTGTTCATTTAAAATCACGTTACATTTTAAAGATTGGGAGCGGTTATATTAGCCTTCTTCAAACGAGGCTTGCGGAGAGTACTTAATGGTAGGCAGCGGCTTGGCTCTGCCCCTGGCATTGCTGACGTCCATGAGCGACGGTGACCACTTACCATCAGGTGGGCCGTTTGCTCTTCTACCTACAAAGGCAATAAAAAATATATATTATATTAATTCTTTTGAGTCCATGACAACTTTCAGCTTCTTCCTTATCACCAGTAAGGCATAAGATTAATTAGAAAAATCAATTTACTGAATACAAAAAAAAAACAATTGGCAAAACCCTTCGTTTTTAAAGACCCGTTCTTTCTGAAGTTGTAGAGTATTAAAGTTTTCTAATTAATTCGTCGGAGTCGAGGCAAGACAAACATCCGTTTTCCAATTAGGGAACTTTAGCGCTTTTTTTTTCCTCCTACCCATGAACTGTCATCAACTACTGTGAAGTTTGCAAGTAAGTTGGCTTGTTAACAACTCCTGAGATGTTTGATTTTCCGTCATGTTTTCTGCTGTTCTTTCAAAAGGTGTATTGAGATATTATTATCCGATACATAATTTAAAACCAAACTACAAAAAGACTCCTCAACATTTATCCTATAACAATAGATTAGATAGGAAAACAGTTATTCATAAAGGAACAGATTAGTGGATATTATAGTCCTTCTTTGGATTGTTATTGTTCAAATTAATGTTTAGACAAATCTTTTGGGATAATCAGTAGAGTGAATAAGAATAAGATTCAATAAGATGAAAATCAGCCAAAGGAATAATAGTTCATTGTTAATTGAGTCGTCTATTATCAAAGGTGGCAATCTGTGCATTTGGACAAAAAAAATTGATTGATATGTCAATACAGAATGATTTGAATTTAATCGTCTCCTTCAAAGAATACGGTTCAAAACCTGCATTAAATAAAGGTTAATAGTTAACCTGTTATTTATCTAAGATGTCGTTCCGAAGAGTTTTGTGACTGCCAATGGAATACAAAGTCAATAATTCGTTTTTCTAATTTACCAATAATTTTCCAAAAGTCAGATTGCCGGCTTTGATAACAGTCGACTCAATTGTAATAGATCGTTACGTGACAATAAAACAAAATAGGAAAAATATACAGTAGAGTCATCTAAATTTTTTTAAGTAAAGCTATAAACAAAGTAGTGTTTTCTCTTTAAAGTTATAAAAGAAGTGCAACTATGTGTCCAATATGTATATCGACGCTTGAAAGGCAAACGTGACAATGCGTGAACTTTACAGTAGACTAATTTAAAGTTGAAATACCTGAAAAAAAATATATTTTAACGAATCTAGCGGTAGGATTGAAATTATTTGAATAGACCTAGAAATATATATTTTTTGCGCATGGAATATGATTATGGCCTATCATTTATGTATAAAGCAGTTATTGTCGCTTAGTCACGTTTACCTTTCAAGCGTCGATATAAAGAACTTTTAATTTCGCCTCTAGTGTTCGGTATCTTGCGGTGAAGGCGTCCAAGTGAGAGGAGTGGAGTGTACTCCAGCTGGAGGTGGCTGCGACCCTTCAACTAGACCGGAAATCACCAGGCCTTGTTCCACTGGCATCAGTTGTCCCGCTTACAGGGAATCCGATGACCCTGAAGTAAGTGATTCTTCTTCGCCCTGCATTATCCTCGACGCTACCAGTACTACTGGTGGTAGGACCTACCCTGCCTATTTCTGCCGTGAAGCAGTAATTCGTTTCGGTTTTTTAGGGTGGGGCAGCCGTTGTAACTATACTGAGACCTTAGAGCTTATATCTCAAGGTGAGTGGCGCATTTATGTTGTAGATGTCTATGGGCTCCATTAACCACTTAACACCAGGTGAGCTGTGAGCTCGTCCACCCATCAAGTCAATAAAAAAAAAGTACAATTACAGTCTTCCAACCAAAAAGGCGTTACAACTTCATTGCTGTTAGGTATCAACTCACTTTGGTAAATTAGGCTAAGCTTTCGAAGAAGTGTTAATTAACGAATTAGTTGAAGGTATTAGGATAAATTACACGGTCGTAGTAAGAGCTGGATAAGGAAAGAAAATTAATGAAATTGATGCCAAAGAAATAATGAAAGTTAATTTCGTATATGTTGGTGTACGTACGGTTGTGTTTGATGCTCAAATTAGTTATTTGCAAAGTGAAAACAGTCCTATATATCTTACCAGTAAAATAAATGAAGAACGAAGAATGAGTGGGAAGTTGAAAATTATTTTCTTATGGCACTGGACGTGTGAAAGGGCGTTAAATTAGCGGAGTCCAGACATAACAATGTAGGATTACATGTAAATGCGGCCGCTCAAGGTTTGAGATATGCGTCTAAAGTCTTAAATGTATTATATAGCGGTTGTTTCACTCTTTTATGACTTCCTTACGGCAATAGACAGAATAGCGGTACCAATTAATTTGTTCTTATAATGCGATCTTCCAGAAATTTTATCATAAGCTTTACTACCATAGAGTTGATAGTACAGTGGTCAGACCCCCTGAATGCTAGATACAATATCGTGGATTCCGTTCCCACATCCGTTAAAAGGACAAAAAATCGTATGATCAAAAGTGTACTTACAGCTTTGTCTAGATTTTATTTATATGAATGTCCACATATACCAATCTCTGGTTCCCATAGTACAGGGAATCCTGGCTTGAGGAAAAATAATCTTGTATAATTTGTGCCGAATTATCTATTTCTTTAATCCCATTATCATAATACAATCATTCGTTAGGATGATATAGACGACCTGCTACCAGGAGTTCTATACCACACGCAGCCTCTCATTCAACAATACCCACCTCCACAAGCGAAGGCCGAGAGACTTATCGGCGAACCGGATGTGCCACTTGAAGCTACGTAAGTCCTACCAACTAAACTAATTGATAATTGTCATCAATGACCATTATACATTATAAGGTCCAATGGAAGCTATCATTTCTGATATCATCTATCAGTATGTGGGGACATTTTACTGGTGGTAGGACCTGTTGTGAGTCCGCGCGGGTAGGTACCACCGCCCTGCCTATTTCTGCCGTGAAGCAGTAATGCGTTTCGGTTTGGAGGGTGGGGTAGCCGTTGTGACTATACTGAGACCTTAGAACTTATATCTCAAGGTGGGTAGCGCATTTACGTTGTAGATGTCTATGGGCTCCAGTAACCACTTAATACCAGGTGGGCTGTGATCTCATTCACCAATCTAAGCATAAAAAAAAAAAACTCGTAGATAGATTTTCCGGTCACTGCCACTCATAGCTCTTACGTGCCAATTTTTGTTATTTTCAAGCCACAGCCTACGGATTGAAATTAGTTTAAGAAAGATCATGCCCTATCTTGTCTATTTGTGTTGTAAGAAAATATATTATGCTGAAGGAATTATTATTTACTGAACTACATGTCACTTTAAAATGATCATAATTGAAATCAGTTCCCAAATAAACGATATTCAAATCATTATCCATAACTTTTTACGATTAATTTTCACATGGTCATATTCTTTTGGGACGAATTATTGACAATTTACCATCAAAGCTGTACAAGCCTCCTTCTCACTATGTAAATAATATTAAATTGATGTGAGTTCGCTGTGTTACCTATTGAATATATTAAGTTTGCTTTATACATATAACATTAATAGTAATAAGTATTAATAAAAAAATCCTTGGTCCAAAAATGATACCAGAACCAACGCTATAAAAAAATTAACTACCACATCTCCTTCCTTAAGAGGATAAAATAAATATTAAATTAAATTAGATACTAGCCTAACTTGTCAATATTTGAAGTATGTAGATTAACGCAGGATATTTGTAATGCATATAATGAAACTATTCATATATTTCATTTTTCATTATTATTATTATTATTATTATTTTATTAAAAAAAGGCAATATTTTGAGAAAAAACAAAAAACAAAAAAAAAGCCCGCTGAGTTTGTTTCGCCGGTTCTTCTCAGGACTGTGGCTTTTTTTGGAACCGGTGGTAGAGTTAATATTGTTATTTTTATTTTGACATTCAACAAGTGTGTTGTCATACTGACATCTAAGTTGAAATAAATGATTTTGAATTTGAATTTTTTGAATTCTATCCTCTAATCATGTCAATGACCAATTAAAATCTATGATACACATAAGTATTTACCTATTATTATTTTATTTATAATTTACTTGAGGTATTTAATTCGAAAATAAAGAGTACGCACATATGTTTGCTGTAAATATAAACCCGCTGCAAAACATGAATCTTTCATATTTACAGTACTTTTATCGATTTGATTTAAAAAAACCGGTGTTTTAGGGGGCTAACTATTTTAAAGTAGGTCGGTAGGCAGCGGCTTGGCTCTGCCCCTGGCATGGCTGAAGTCCATGGGCGACGGTAACCACTCACCATCAGGTGGGCCGTATGCTCGTCTGCGTACAAGGGCAATAAAAAAAAAAAAAAAAGTATTAATTATATTGCACATAAAAAATCTATTTAAAGAACAGATATAAAAGAACATTCATGAGTTTTTTTACAACGTTAGTTTTTGATAAATTATCTACGTTATTTTGTGTATTATATTGTAAATTTATTTCAATTTATACATAATTCTAAACAATTTGGGATTCTTTACAGTTAAACCTAAAAAGTCCGACGGTAATTTCGGTTACAAAAAATCTCTAATTCATTAACACTGATTGCTACTTCGTGTTCTATAAATTGTGCAAAGGGCATAATATATGAGCACATAAAATCCTGTTCACTCACATCACGCATGCACACACCTATGTCAATACTGTCTATAAATGTTGTGTTGTCTATAACGTCTGAAGCTTAGAGTATTTTGTTGTTGTCTCTTTCAGCAATTACAAAATATTCTTTGCCTGTGGCTGGTTGTATGTAAGGTATTGTACCTAATCAGAATAAAAATTTTAACGAATCACTTCCAAAATCAGACTTTCACATATCAATACAAGGAATGATATTAACCTTATCATTTACACGATGGCTGCATAGATTTCGTTATAGCTTCTTGGGTTGTTCAAGAATTCGGATTCAATCCTTGAGCAATTCTTTTAATAGTGATGGTTGATTTAGTTATCTGATCCCTGACGTGTGTTTAGACCTTAGACGTTGAGACCTTTGTGAATACAAAATACACTCCACATTCAATTAAGAAATCAAAATCACTAAACCTCTATTACCAGAACAGACTTGTCCTAACCATCACACGTTGCTTTCACTCCACTATACTCCGTTTTCGACTATATGCACTGCACATTAAATTTTAAATTTCCTTGCACCGTTCTTGTACACGTTTGGTCTTGCGTCTTTTTTTCTTTGCCTTTACTATTTCCTATATACTGAACATTTCTGGCACACGGCACACGGTACACGGCTATTTTATNTATTACCAGAACAGACTTGTCCTAACCATCACACGTTGCTTTCACTCCACTATACTCCGTTTTCGACTATATGCACTGCACATTAAATTTTAAATTTCCTTGCACCGTTCTTGTACACGTTTGGTCTTGCGTCTTTTTTTCTTTGCCTTTACTATTTCCTATATACTGAACATTTCTGGCACACGGCACACGGTACACGGCTATTTTATTCAAAACATACTGTTACAAAATTTTTGGATAAATTATCAATTTGACATTGGCGGGGGAAAATACACGCACTGGTGCATACTTCTACATATACCAGCCAGAAACGATTAGGTTTATAATGCCTTTGGACCCCAGCACTGAGCATGTCTAATTTTCGACCTTGTGTGGTTTTAATCTAGTATTTTATTAGGTTACAAAAACCTTTAGAGATTCTATAACTTAAATTGACTTTCAGCTACATCAAAGACGATGAGTGGGGTCCCTGTAGCGTCACATGCGGAGAGGGATGGAGAAAAAAGGAGGTCCATTGCAAGATATTCTTAGAGTTTAGTCGGACGATTGCAAAATTGCCCGATAGTAAATGTATGGGACCCAAACCGACCGAAGAAACTGAAAGATGCGTGATGGAGCCATGCTCTATGGCCTACGGAACTTCGTTTGGGGACTCTAGTGCCCCTTCTTATAGCGGCGCTGATAGGTAAGTTAATGCTAATTTTAATGTAGTAATATAATTTGCTGACAGCTCTCGACTCTCGCGCCCACACCAATTTAAAGTTCAATAGAAATCTACGATCTTTAATTCCTTCAAGCGATTACATTTAGAACACAACCTACATTTCATTTCAAGTTTATGACAATAAAAAAATGAATAATTTGAGAACACTTACTATAAAAACATGGCCTTGGCTCATTTTTCATTCACACTAATCATCCCATCTTAATATAAAATTTTAGAGTATGTGATAAATTGATCGTAGTAAATTAAATATAAAATATGAATTGCGTAGTAAGAAAGTATTCATGCTAAACTTAAGAAATATATAAACTATTCACTTAACATATTAAAAGGGGTTAATATTAGACAGGCGATCGGTAAAACTCATTCCAGATCCTTACGGATGCAGGTTAAGGACAAGAATAAAAAGATCAATAACATCAAATACAAACAAATGCAGGTGCTGATGATACCCAAGACGACAAAATAAGTCGTATTATGAGCCTGTAGATACATACCAATTTCCTACCAAAGTCCGTCATCAAAACAGTAAATAAAATTTAAAACTATTGGCTCAGATGAATCGTGAGAAAGCCTGCTAATATAAAAATTGGGGTTGAAACACCGATTATATAAATAAAAGCAAGGTTATTGCCCTGTTTAATAATAATCGATATACGCAGAAGGGCAACGTCTTTGGGTGACGCGGAATTGCTTTTTTTCGATTACGATTATGGATTCGTGAATCTTACTAAAAGGATTAGTATTTATGCTGATATTATTGTAAGTAAGTTCTTGTTTTAGCGTCGTATCAGATCCAAACAGAGTATCAATGACGGCATTGGCCTTCCGCGGTGTGTTACAAGAGATTTTACCCACTACGAAGCACCTTTTGAATGAATTTCCTTCTTCAATGTATGCCAAGTACTATGACATATCTTCCTTCAATGGAAGTTTCAAGTTCTTACTCAGAGACAGTCCTTTTACAACAGAGCTACTTATAAATCTATAAGCACTTAAGATCCCTGGACCGTTTTTTTATTGGTTAGATGGTGGACTGGACTGGTGTCAACTGGTTGTTGGAGCCCATAGACATCTACAACGCAAATGCGCACCCACCCTGAAATATAAGTTCTAAGGTCTCAGTATAGTTACAACGGCTGCCCCACCCTTGAAACCGAAACGCATTATCGCTTCACGATAGAAATTGGTAGGGCGGCGGTACCTGTGCGGACTCACAAGAGCTCCCACCACCAGTAAAAAATATCCAATAACCATCTGCCAGGGATAACCGTAGAAGTCCTTATTTAATATTTCATCTAAAGAACGCTATAGTAAATTGTTAATCTTGTCCGACAATTTCATCAAGCTACCATTCGATATAGCTTCATCCACAACATCATTGACTCTAATTTTAAAATAATCCATTTCACCTGGAACCTCACCAGTATTTGAACCATCAACAATATTTGAACCTTTCAATATTGCTTCGTGTTCAGGGGTCATTATTATAATTCTAAGATCTATCATTGATATTAACAGGCCAAATATCAAATGATCATTTACGTCACTTTTGAATTCTACCTCTGGATATGCGATATCAGCATCTATTTCGTATAGACTTAAGAATGATTTCAGGCTGTCATAGTAGATCTTGAGGAGTCTCTCGAAATTGTCAGATCTAAATTTAGAATCTGTACAGAGGTATATGAAATACATTATGTCTGTCACTGGATTGGCGTAGCGGACTGCTTGGAAATCAATGAAGCAGACTCTTGCCGGCTTGCGTTCCTGTAAATCAAATAAATATTGCAATTAGGGTATCTAGCCAAGCAGGCGCAAAAGATGCATAAGTATTTGTATTGGAAGCATTTGAAGTCGTCGTGGCCTAAAGGATAAGACGTCTAGTGCATTCGTATCTAGCGATGCCCCGATTTTTCGAATCCCGCCGGCGGGTACCAATTTTTCTACTGAAATACGTACAATGTTCACGATTGATTTCCACGGTGAAGGAATAACATCGTGTAATAAAAACCAAACCCGCAAAATTATATTTGCGTAATTACTGGTGGTAGGACCTTTTGTGAGTCCACACGGGTAGGTACCACCACCCTGCCTATTTCTGCTGTGAGTAATGCGTTTCGGTTTTAAGGATGTGGCAGCCGTTGTAACTATACTGAAACCTGAAGACTCTTATCTCAAGGTGGGTGGCGGCATTTACGTTGTAGATGTCTATGGGCTCCGGTAACCACTTAACACCAGGTAGGCCGTGAGCTCGTCCACCCATCTAAGCACAAAAAAAAGAAATGAAAAATAAATCACGGCTTTAGATTTAAAAAGTAAAGCGTTTATAATAAGACAGTTGAAACTTGGATTACATATCAGTATGACTAGTAGTTTATAGGTGACCAGACACTAGCAAACAAACGACAAGGGTATGGGATACTAAAATCAAACTAGATCCGCCTGTGATTAGTACTCAGTAATCCTGTCGACATACCCAAACCATACAGCCGAGAGAGAAAAGAATCATGAGTGTGAATTTATTTTTTGTTTTTTTTTTTTATTTCACATTAATTACGAGCTCTCCAAATTAAATATTTAAAAATATATAAAATATGTTCGGTACGCGTCAAAATTATCTGAATATAAAAAAATATTTATTAACACATGATGAGTGTACATGTGGAATCTTATTCAATTTAATTACTCCACACCCTTGTCGTCTCTTCGTAAGATCCGAAATAGAGTTATTATTCGTTTACTATTGTTTGTGAAAGTTTACAAATTCATTATAAAATCCAGACCCTAAAATTATTATTAATTTAGCTAATTACTTTAACTAAAGTATTGGAAACGTCTGAAATAGTTTAATAACAATAAAAACGCGAAATTATGCCGTAAAAGTAATGTTATTTATTGCTTAGATAATTGGACGAGCTTACAGCCAGCCCACCTGGTTGTTCAGTGGTTACTGGAGCCCATAGACATCTACAACCGCCACTCACCTTGAGATATAAGTTCTAAGATCTCAGTATAGTTACAACGGCTGCCCCGCCCTTTGAACCGAAACGCATTACTGCTTCACGGCAGAAATAGGCGGTGTGGTGGTACCTACTCGCGCGGACTCACAAGAGGTCCTACCACCAGTAATTACGCAAATTATAATTTTGCGGGTTTGATTTTTATTACCGCTTTTATGTTGCTTATACCAAACAGCGTTTCACCCCTCGAATTATTTTTAGTGAATTTTAATGTTAATGGACTAAATCAATGGCTCTTAGAACTCATTACCCAAAACAAATACATAGGTACATCAATTAGCACTTTTTCCTGAACAGACATGTGCGCCAAATTCTGCCCTAGAACACAAGATTAATGAATCAAGAATAAATGAAATAACAGTATCGGATACAAATCGTAGAGGCATTAATCATACCAATGATCTGACAGAGCTTCGGACGATCTATACCGCCCACTTTATTACCAGAAACAAAGACAAATCGTTTAGCCATCGCAAGGCAGTAGGGATTTGAAGGCCAGATATTATAGACAAGTAAATAGCATAAATATAAATAGTAGGTAATGATTTTGTTTGTTTTGTGTGCAAAAGGATATCTGCAAGTAGGACCGATTTTGAATTTTTTTTTACATTTTTTTTTATTGCTTATTTGGGTGAACGGCTCACAGCCCACATGGTATTAAGTGGTTACTGGAGCCTATAGACATCTACTACGTAAATGCTGCCACCCACCTTGAGATATTAGTTCTAAGGTAGTTACAACGGCTGCCCCACCCTTCAAACCGAATCGCATTACTGCTTCACGGCAGTAATAGGCTGGTAGTACCTACCCGTGCGGACTCACGCGAGGTCCTAACACCAGTGTAAATAACTGTTAATTAAGTTACTAACCTCATACTTAAACAGTATATTATTGATCCAGCAATCACCATGACACAAAACATTGGTTTTGCTTGCTTTGCTGAAACACTGAAGAATTTTCAAAATGCTAGGCTTAATCTCCTCCAGAACCTTGTGAGCCTTTACATCAGTAACAACACTCAAAGACATATCAAACGACTCTAAGAAATAGTTCTTCAATTTACTTTTATCAAGAAAGTGATCCTGGTAAATAATATCGGAGAAATCACTTTTGATTTTCGAAAAACTTTCTTTTTCTCTCTCGCCACATACGAAGGACAAAGCGTGAAACTTTGCTAGTTCACTTATTACCAGAGAACACTGTTCGAAGTCTAATACTTCATGTTTAGGCTTGGAGTCGAGAACGAATCCATAGAGCAACATATCTTCCAAAATCAATACTTCATTCGATTTTTCTATCTTCCAATAAAGACACCTAGGTAAAATCAATTTCGCTGCTTCAGCCAGAGTTTCTTGGATCTCATTAAATTTGGAGATCACTACGCGATAAAACTCAACCTCCTTTTTGTGTAATTCGTGAAATAGTTCTTGTCTCGTTGTATTTACTAACGTTTTTACTATAACACCAACTGTGTTGTTCTCACTGTTCGCTTCTTTTACGGACACTCTAAATATATTGGCTATAAAGTTGTCACCTTTTCCGCAGATATAGTCAACGTGATAGACGAAATCTTGAATACCTCTCAGTGCAGCTACAACTTTGATACTTTCATGTAGTTCTTCACAGTTAAACTCATCGGGTTCACTAATGTTCACATCTAAAGACATGATATCTGACCTTCATTCAACACTTGTAAATACAAATGAAATTTTACCGTTCCTATCTTAATCGTCAAAGATAAGAAATCGTACTGATAATAATAATAAGATAACAATATCTATTTTAGTTAAACTTTTGCGAATTTTTCATCGGATTACGTGATGATAATTATACTATGATATTTCTATTTAAGATTCATAGACAAATTACTAGCTACTTTTGGAATATAATATGCACTTCGTTCAAGAATATGTTTGAGCTATAAATCGATAGTTAAAATCAGTATTTTTTTTAAACCAAAATCTATAATAATCTGGCCTTCGCGATGGGTAAAAACTTGTTCTGATTGCCCCTAGCAGTGCCTTAATTACTAGTACTATCCGTTTATGATTAAGTGGCAAGTGAAACCGTGACTATTAAGGTTGACAAACAGTCTATGTTGGCTGCTACCGTTTAAGCTTGAAGCTTTTATTGGGTCTCATTGCGACAGAAATCTATATATTAATACGTGAAGCAAAAACTTTGTATCCCTTTTTACGAAAATTGCGCGGACGGAGGAGTATGAAATTTTCCACACTTATAAAGAATATAGAGAAGAAGTGCAAAATGCTAATATTTTTTAATTTTTTTTTTATTATGCATAAAAGATACATTAAGTCAATAAAGAAAATATTACACACACTACATACCATGTATTTGACGTACACGCGCATGCATACTATTTATTGTCAATCTTTTGTTCTTGACGTCTGTTGTCAAATTGAGAATAGATTAAATATTGTTTGTCTTTTTCAATATTTTTTATAGTGTAGTCTTGGCGAAATTTGTGATTATAGAAGTATAAAATACAATCATAATAGTGTACAAACTTACAATTCCAATTAATTATAGTCGAATTTCGACTACTGCGGGACCTCTAGTAGACTTAAAAATTCAAGATTAGAATGAAAGAGAGTGTGTGTGTGTGTGTGTGTGTGTGTGTGAGAGAGAGAGAGAGAGAGAGAGAGAAAGAGAGATAGAATATACATTATTGCACACCAAAACAAAATTAACATTCAAAAACGGTCAACAGAAATGAATAATAGTACATAACGCTAAAGGCGATCTCATCCAGGAGACCGTTTCATCTACAGAAATTCTGAAAATGATACAGTTGAGGTATACTATGATTAACAATATACAGAACGACAGATAGACAATTCAGAGGCGCTCGGGTAGCTGTTAGCAAATCCCACCCCTCCTGGCTGAGCCTTGGCTCGCCCACCTGTCCTGGTGAAACTGGAAAGGCCTTCGGGCCACCAGTAATCCTTCAATCATAAAAAAAAGATAGGCGAATAGGAGGAATGATGAAATGTAAACCAATTTAATTCCAATTATTCATTATTTTTTCGAACTGGAAGTAACGGTAATCTATTCAGCAGGTCTTTAACTTATGGTACCTCAAGTAACATCAGGGTGGCCCCTGGATCTCCTGGCAAATCATACTCCTGGAAGGAAAAAGGCTATACGAGTTGCAGTGCGTCTTGTCTCAGTGGAGTCCAAGTAAGTTTTGTTACGTTATAATACTGTATAATACGTTATATTACGATATAATACTGTTACAATTGTTACGATATAATACGTAAAAATGAATATTTTAAAAAAAAACTAATAATTAAAAAAAAAAAACTAATATTAAAAAAATATATATATGTTCGCTGAGTTTCTTGCCAGTTCTTCTCAGGACGGAGGCTAGTTTTTATGAATTGGCGGTAGTTCTTTTTGACGTTCAACAAGTATGTATTTTCATTTATCTCTATATATAAAAATGAATTGCTGTTCGTTAGTCTCGCTAAAACTCGAGAGTGGCTGAACCGATTTGGATAATTATGATCTTGAATTATTTGTGGAAGTCCAGAGAAGGTTTAAAAGGTAAATAAATTTGAAAATGCTCGGAATTAAATAAAAATAACAAATTTGTTTTTCCTTTGATGTGTCCCCCGTCGGACGGATTCCTTTTGTTTGTTTTAAGTTTATTTTATACAAAAGTTTAGGTCTTTTATTTATCGATTAAGGCACTACGAAGTCTGCCGGGTCAGCTAGTGATGATTTTTTTTTTATTTGATTTGATTTGAACTATTTCACGTCTTCCCAGGAACTTATAATTCAATGCGTGCGAGATGAAGATGGTAAGAACGCATCACCATACATGTGCGACCCTCACACCAAACCCGAGAACAGAGTTAGGACCTGCAATGATCACCCGTGTCCCCCACGGTTAGTAGAAATTTTTCTAATTTTTTTTTTATTTATTGCTTAAATGGGTGGACAAGTTCACGGCCCATCTGGTGTTAAGTGGTTACGGGAGCCCATAGACATCTACAATATACATGCCGCCACCCACCTTGAGACATGAGTTATAAGGTCTCACTTTTAACAGTACAACGACTGCCCCGCCCTTCAAGCTGAAACGCATTACTGCTTCACGACAGGAATAGGAAGGGTGGTGGTACCTACCTCTGTGGACTCACAAGACGTCCCACCACCAGTAAAATTGAAGCACTTTCTCATTAAATCACATTTGGCTTTAAAATAAAATCGTGTATGCATTTTGATCAGTAATAAAATTTAAGTGATTTATAATAATTCCTCTCCACAGTTGGAACTATACAGAATTCTCACAATGTACAAAATCATGCGGCATCGGTATCCAGACTAGAGAAGTAACTTGCATACATGAGGTATCTATCATGAATCTCTTCTTTTAACATTTATTTACAGTCCAGGAAAGATTTCTAGTTTAATAGATTCAACCTACGATAGTCGGTACGAAGTTTGCCAACATACTAGTGGCAAATACGGTGAAGCCTGACCATGATTTGGTTGCTGTACCTAGTACTGAGATATCAATACGCTTTTATTAGCTTCACACGTATGTATGTTAGTGTGTAACGGAATATTTGAACATGATTTTGACCCCCTTCAAAACGTCGGATTAACTCGAAATTTGGTATGCTTATTAAGGACCGATGACAATTCAATATTTAAATAAATATTGAAAAACATATTGAAAAAATTGAATTTCAACTATGAAATGAAAATAAATAATAGTTTAAAAAAACTAACAAAATACGCTTTTATAGAAAATTCAACTAAAAAACAGAAATTAAATCACACGAGTCCTAAGTCTCAGTTTTATGGTAGAAAAGTTGCCCCACCCTTCAAACCGAACCGCATTACTGCTTCGCGATAGTAATAGACAAGGTGATGGTATCTACAGCTGAGAAGACCCCTTGTTTCGCGCGACAGTAATAGACAAGGTGACGGTACCTACAAGTACGAGCTGAGAAGACCCCTACCACAAACAAAAAAAAACGATCTAAATCAATTCTTCAAACCTTAACAACGTTTTATCACCTGAAAAGGAATTTCCGTTACGACCAGTGTGTGTAATGCGAGTTTTTAACGTTGTCGATAGCGTAAAAGTCAACTCATATTTGTATGGAGTTGGAATAGCGCCCCTAGCAAACGTTCCAATTCTGTACAAATTTGAGTTGCACACAGACTGCATATTAGTATTTATTTTAATAGCATAAAGCATACCGATAATTTTTATAACAAACTTAAAGGATACTTCTGTGGATAACTTTATCGTTACGTTAGTGAAGGCCCTAAATTAATCATTCAGGTAACACGTGGTGGTACCAACACAGTCGTGGTACCTAACAGCATGTGTCCGCAACCACCACCACCGGACCGGCAGTACTGCAATGTGCTAGACTGTCCAGTCAGATGGCATACAGGGGAGTGGACCAAATGCTCCAAAACCTGTGGCGGGGGCGTTAAGCAGAGAGAGGTGAGTATCTAGTATAATATTTAGTTTAGCCTAGACTGATTTGGTGGTGCCGTAGTCAGCGATTCTGACTTGCGCCGAGGGTCGGGGGTTCGATTCTCGCATCGAACAAACTATCTTTTTTTTTCTCCTACCTATGCTGATAGCCTTGAGAGACTATTTCAGCATCTCCTTGACGTGTAATTAAACTAACGGGGCTCAAACCGGAGTGTTGCTAACACTGGCCCTAGCAAGAGCAGTGCTTCGCAGAATCTACCACCGGATCGGAAACGCGACCCACTGAGAAGATCCAGCGAGAAACTCATTTGGCTGTGTCTATGAGTTAATTTACTCGTCGAACCCGTCGCTTGCGACGAGAACGGTAACCGGTAAACTTTCTTGTTTTGAACAGGTTTGTTTGGGTTCTCTTCACCTGGGTGCTTATTATCTATATGTGTATGTAGTTAAACATATATAAGTACCTAAATCAGTATCTGCTACCCATACCACAGGCAATCCTAATTTGAGGCCGAATGACCGTGCGGGATTTGTTCCCAGCTATTTATTATTATTATTTTTCCCCCAGTTCTATATTAATCTCTTCCACTTTATTCCTATATCCTCCATGTTCCAAAAGGTTGAATGCAAGCAAATAATGGCGCAGTCCCACGTAGTAGAACGTCCGGCATCGCTGTGCAGCTCACCTCGTCCGCCATCCACGAAGTCTTGCAACAGTCGACCCTGTTTACTGGATACGTCATCGCCGGAGATATCTCTCGCTAACTCGTCTTATATTCAGCACGACCCTAAGAAGAAGAAGGTGAGATTTGATTTTAAAATGAAAGCAAAAAAAAGGTGTACAAATTATAGGAACTGGAATTGCATGATCTTTTGTGTTTTTGTAACTGTACGGATGAACAATGTTTTAGTTTCTAGATTTTTATTACTAACTAGCTTTTGCCCGCGACTTCGTCCGCGTGGAATAGTTCACAAATAATGCATTATTTTAGAACAAATTTGGTTAGCATAAAAAACGTTATAGTGAGCCAACCTTAACATATAGACATATGCTGTCGCGGACTTTTTTTTAGATCTTTTAAAGGGGAACAATTCTGTCGTACATTATTTTAGCGAAACTTTAACCGTTTCTACAGCGCCCGCAGCGGAAGCTCTCAAAACGGAAAAAACCCGATTTTGAAACATTCTTTATTGGTGCTCCGCTTGTATTGGTCTTAGCGTGATGTTATATAACCTATAGCCTTTCTCAATAAATAGGCTATCTAACACTGAAAGAATTTTTCAAATCGGACCAGTAGTTCCTGAGATTAGTGCGTTCAAACAAACAAACTCTTCAGCTTTATAATATTAGTATAGATTACAATATTTCCTCTGGTCCTTTTAAATATTCCATTTATTTAAAGAAATTAAGCATTCAAACTCAAAGCTTTCCTTAGGTGACAGTAAAAGTGGGAGGTTCGGCGACTATTTTTTTCGGGACCCAAGTGAAAATAAAATGTCCTGTCAAAGGATACAACAGGACAAGGATACAGTGGGCGAAGGACAATCAGATTATAACGAAATCCAAGAAATACAAGATATCTAGGAAAGTAAGTTAAAGTATAAAATAATAGTCAGAAGTAGAATAAATTTGATACTAATTAGGTTTGTAATTAGCATTTTTGTTTGGACCATGGCAAATAGGACGCTATTTCTGCTACATGCCCCTCATTGATTGACATCATGCGTTCATACATCAAGTTACCCTGTGACGATATTGCCACCACTAAGTCTATGACCAAAAACCATAGACTTATATAGTAGGGACGCGACATATTGTTCTATACGTACAATTGCTTATATAAATAGCACCCATTTTGAAGGCACACACATAAACATATATCTATCTCGTTCTTACTTAGCACTGTAACTCGCAGGAAAACAATATAACAATATTTCAGTGCGTACATAAAGTGAAACATGACTATACGTAAATACCTAATGAGGCCGAAAATCCGCCATACTTAGCGCACCAAATGTCATTGTCTGTCAGTTCAGCCGGTTTATATTTTTTTTTTAGGTTTCATTATTCAGTGCCAAAAACAGACACGCGCTCAAGTCTCATTTAGTAAGTTCCCCATATTTTAGCGTTATTGCAAGCGCCATGTTCAAGTTTAGACTAAAGACTGCAAGTTTGTTAGAAGCAAACAAATATATCTACCTTCAGTCTAGTTTGTTATTTAATGCCACCATTGGAACCCGCTATTGAAATAAAAACCGGTATCGAGCTTCTTCAAGAAGCTGTGTTCCCAAACTAAAACTTGTAGCAAGAACCCGATAAATAATAATGTCTATACTATACTGATAATGTAATGGAGATTTCTTTTTTTCTGTGTCTATGCAAACTGGTTATAGAACTCATGTCTCTACACCGTTGGTATCAATTATAGAACCGATACTTTTACAGAAACCCTAAATAAAATTTGCAATAATCAGTGGCTACGTTATTTTTTCTTTCTTGAAAGGGCGCTCTACGAATCACGACCCTGTCGTTCAGAGACCACGGAGTGTACACCTGCGTCGCTGGAAGATCTAACGCGAATTTGACTTTACTTGTGAAGCCAAGACCTGGAGAGTTCCCTTCTAGCGAAGAAATCGAGCGGCATAAGGCTTTAGATGAACCGTCATCACCTTTATCCGACAGGTCTGTCTAACCGGTTTGGTAGTTCATAAGAATTCCATAAAGTTTATAGAAATTTGGAAACGTGCTTAGAAAGGGAAGTTGGAGAATATCGTCAATGACGAGAAAATTGTTGTGGTAAGTTATTGTGGTATGAGAATGTAGGGTGAAGAGAAGGTCATGGTGCTGTCAAAGGGCCCCAAGGTTTGAAAGTAGATGATAATTTAAAGAGGGTCCTAAAAAGCTTTGAATGGACTGTATGAATGATATTATAGGAGATAAATATGGGTAGGACATACTGTGCCTTAAATTTATAGAATGACCAGATATACCAGGTATGAAATGGTTGCTTATATCAAAAAGTATAGGATCGTCATTACAAATGCTTCCATTGAATCATATCACTTATGAGCTAGGATATAAAAAATCGCGCTTCTAGCGATGTCTCTTAATATAAAATATTTTGCGTTTATTATTTATTCATTGTCTGTATTAGGCGATTGCATGCAGCAGAGATGCGAATGTTGCGATGGAGTAACGAGAATGGATAGAATACGGAATGAATATGTTAGAGGAAGTCTGAAAGTGGCACCTGTGACAGAGAAGCTGAGAAGTGCGCGTTTGGGATGGTATGGACATGTGATAAGATAAAATGAAAATGAGGTTGGTAAGAGAATGTTAACTATGAATGTGGAAGGATATAGAGGAAGAGGTAGACCTAAAAAGAAATGAATGGATTGCGTGAAAGACGATATGTGTAAGTGGGGAGTGAACGAAGAAATGGTATATGATAGAAGAGTATGGAAGGAGAAAATATGTTGCGCCGAGCCCAGGTGACTGGGAGAAGGGCAGGGTAATGATGATGATATTTATTTATTGTCTGTTATGCATTTTTAAGAGTGTTATCTAAGGGTTATTCAACACGTATGTCTTATATAATAAGGTCACTTTTCCAATATACTAACAGCAGAGCGGATGGCAGATACAGAGCCATGACCGGTGGAGCTTCAGATGATCAGTCTCACGAACAGCGACCTGGAGACCAAAGAAAAAATTACAAGAACCGCCAGAAAAGTGAGTAATAGTTAGCATGAAGGGACATTTCAATTTTGGACGCTTTTTCCAATGATTCTGCAAATAAAGAAAATAAGAGAGATAGATGATTAGAAACGAAATAGTATGTTTTTATTGCTTAGACGAGTAGACGGCCCACCTGGTGCTAAGTGGTTGCTGGAGCCCATAGACAGCAGAACGTAAACACCGTCACCCACCTCAAGCCATTGGCTATCTCAATAACAGTACATAACCACTGCCCTGCCCTTCAAGATGGAGCACATGACTGACTGAAATAGGCACGATGGTGGTACATACCCATACGGGCTTACAATATATCTTACTTAATCCTTAAAAAAATTATAAATACGATAGTAGCTCTGTACATTTTCATAACCGAATCCGAGAACCAATTTTGACGAAATTCTGTACGGAAATAGATTGGGGCCTGCGAAATAATATAGGCTACCTTTCAGCCCACTATTGAACACGGGTATCCGCCCACGTGATGTAAAGTATAGCCCAATCGAGCGAAGCTACGGGCAGAAAGCTTTATATTATGATGTACAATATCGTATTTTTCAAATCATAAATACTTCTTTGTACCTATTTAAGTACAAAGATTTAAACGGTGGTCTATTATGTTTAAAAATAATAGAACGTGCCTTACTGCAGCGAACACTTCATTCTCAAGTCATTGAATTTATAAAATGCAAATTTTCATATTTAATACATTATTGGTTCTTCAAAGTTTTTTTTATTTTTTATTACTTATATGAGTGGACAACCTCACATTGCTTAGATGAGTGGACGAGCTTACAGCCCACCTGGTGTTAAGTGGTTACTGGAGCCCATAGACATATACAACGTAAATGCGCCACCCACCTTGAGATGTGAGTTCTAAGTTCTCAGTATAGCTACAACGGCTGCCCCATCTTTCAAACCGAAACGCATTACTGCTTCACCGCAGAAATAGGAAGGGTGGTGGTACCTACCCGCGCGGACTGACAAGAGGTCCTACCACCAGTAATTACGCAAATTATAATTTTGCAGGTTTTTTTTTTTACTTAAGTCCACGAGTATATTTCAGCTACATAAATAAATATAGATAGATGAATTCTGTCGGGACGTAAACAAGTCTTGTGTTACATTTAATTTTAAATTTAAATATTGTCTAGCAGGTAAAACTGATAAAGTAAGAGAAACATTATACAGCCAAACGGCTACTACAAAAGCAACGCCCAGCTTCAATCCCCAAGCCAGAGATATTTACGACGAAAATGAGGTGAGTGAAACAAGTGATTACAATTTAAAATTTAATGTTTTTGGTGTATACAAATCAGCGTTTTATGAGGAAATATATAAAGTAACGAAAGCACTGATTAATTATCTAAACAATAAAAAGTCTAAGTTAAAAAATAGATCGTAGTAAGTAAACGGTATTCTTTCTTAGAGCAATATTTTTCAAACGAAAGATCAAAAGGACGGTGTTTTTTTTTGTATTTAGTTAAATATTTTTACATGAAAACGGCTAAATTTTAAAGTTCAGTGATACATTTGATTGAGTCGTAAATTTAGACAATTTTTATTCGTACTTCAATGAATCGGATCTACCAAAATAAATTGGAAGTTTCTGTTTTTGTTAGAGATCCGATATTGTGACCTCTACTCAAGTCAGCTTTTTATAATTTGCGTAATTACTGGTGGTAAAACATCTTGTGAAATATTTTTTTTTTTTTTTTTTTTATTGCATAGATGGGTGGACGAGCTCACAGCCCACCTGGTGTTAAGTGGTTACTGGAGCCCATAGACATCTACAACGTAAATGCGCCACCCACCTTGAGATATAAGTTCTAAGGTCTCAGTATAGTGACAACGGCTACCCCACCCTTCGAACCGAAACGCATTACTGCTTCACGGCGGAAATAGGCGGGGTGGTGGTACCTACCCGTGCGGACTCCNTTTATTTGGCAGAGTTGCAACTTTATGCACATGTTCATAGCATCAAATGATAGTAGACTAGACAAGGTGTAAGGAAAATAAAGTTTCAAAGCGGGACCTCGCGGTACTTAGCAGGAATTTAATTTAATGTGACCCGCTCCATACAAAAAAATCACAAAACATATTTTTCTGACCAAACTATAAAGTTTTTGTAATTTTTACCTAAAACAATTATTATTTAGATTAACGAGCTCTATCTATCTACATAAAGAAAAATGTAAAAAAACAAAGTTGGTGCCTAAGTCACTAAAATCATAGTATCGACCCACTGTGCGTCGCAAGCGATGGGTTCGACGAGAATGGTGACCAGTAAACTTTCTTGTTTTGAACAGGTTTGTTTGGGTTCTCTTCATCTGGGTGCTTATTATCTATATGTGTATGTAGTTAAACATATATAAGTACCTAAATCAGTATCTGCTACCCATAACACAGGGAATCCTAATTTGAGGCCGAATGACCGTGCGGGATTGGTTCCCAGCTATTTATTATTATTATTTTTCCCCCAGCTCTGTATTAATCTCTTCCACTTTATTCCTATATCCTCCATGTTTCAAAAGGTTGAATGCAAGCAAATAATGGCGCAGTCACACGTAGTAGAACGTCCGGCATCGCTATGCAGCTCACCTCGTCCGCCATCCACAAAGTCTTGCAACAGTCGACCCTGTTTACTGGATACGTCATCGCCGGAGATATCTCTCGCTAACTCGTCTTATATTCAGCACGACCCTAAGAAGAAGAAGGTGAGATTTGATTTTAAACTTAGAAAGCAAAACAAAAATGTACAAATTATATGAACTGGAATTTCATGATCTTTTGTGTTTTTGTAACTGTACGGATGAACAATGTTTTAGTTTCTAGATTTTTATTACTAACTAGCTTTTGCCCGCGACTTCGTCCGCGTGGAATAGTTCACAAATAATGCTTTATTTTAGAACAAATTTGGGTAGCATAAAAAACGTTATAGTGAGCCAACCTTAACATATAGACATATGCTGTCGCGGACTTTTTTTAGATCTTTTAAAGGGGAACAATTCTGTCATACATTATTTTAGCGAAACTTTAACCGTTTCCGTAGCACACGCAGCAGAAGCTCTCAAAACGGCAAAAAGCCCGATTTTGAAACATTCTATATTGGTGCTCCGCTTGTATTGGTCTTAGCGTGATGTTATATAGCCTTCCTCAATAAATGGGCTATCTAACACTGAAATAATTTTTCAAATCGGACCAGTAGTTCCTGAGATTAGCGCGTTCAAACAAACAAACTCTTCAGCTTTATAGTATTAGTATAGATTACAATATTTCCTCTGGTCCTTTTAAATATGCCATTTATTTTAAGAAATTAAGCATTCAAACTCAAAGCTTTCCTTAGGTGACAGTAAAAGTGGGAGGTTCGGCGACTATTTTTTTCGGGACCCAAGTGAAAATAAAATGTCCTGTTAAAGGATACAACAGGACAAGGATACAGTGGGCGAAGGACAATCAGATTATAACGAAATCCAAGAAATACAAGATATCTAGGAAAGTAAGTTGAAGTATAAATAATAGTCCGAAATAGAATAAATTTGATACTAATTAGGTTTGTAATTAGCACTTTTGTTTGGACCATGGCAAATAGGACGCTATTTCTGCTAGAGGCCCCTCATTGATTGACATCATGCGTTCATACATCAAGTTATCCTATGGCGATATTGCCACCACTAAGTCTATGATCAAAAACCATAGACCTATATAGTAGGGACGCGACATATTGTTCTATACGTACAATTGCTTATATAAATAGCACCCATTTTGAAGACACACACATAAACATATATCTATCTCGTTCTTACTCAGCACTGTAACTCGCAGGAAAACAATATAACAGTATTTCAGTGCGTACATAAAGTGAAACATGAGTATAAAATACCTAATGAGGCCGAAAATCCGTCATGCTTAGCACACCAAATGTCATTGTCTGTCAGTTCAGCCGGTTTATATTTTTTTTTAGGTTTCATTATTCAGTGCCAAAAACAGACACGCGCTCAAGTCTCATTTAGTAAGTTCCCCATATTTTAGCGTTATTGCAAGCGCCATGTTCAAGTTTAGACTAAAGACTGCAAGTTTGTTAGAAGCAAACAAATCTATCTACCTTCAGTCTAGTTTGTTATTTAATGCCACCATTGGAACCCGCTATTGAAATAAAAACCAGTATCGAGCTTCTTCAAGAAGGTGTGTTCCCAAACTAAAACTTGTAGCAAGAACCCGATAAATAATAGTGTTTATACTATACTGATAATGGAGATTTATTTTTTCTGTGTCTATGCAAACTGGTTATAGAACCCATGTCTCTTACCTACCGTTGGTATCAATTATAATTAATTTGGTTATAGAACCCATGTCTCTATACCTACCGTTGGTATCAATTATAATTAATTTGGTTATAGAACCCATGTCTCTATACCTACGGTTGGTATCAATTATAATTAATTTGGTTATAGAACCCATGTCTCTATACATACGGTTGGTATCAATACCGTTGTTATACCGGTAGGTATAGAGACATGGGTTCTATAACCAGTTTCGACCGATACTTTTTTTTACAGAAACCCTAAACAAATATTGCAATAATCACTGGCTACGTTATTTTTTCTTTCTTGAAAGGGCGCTCTACGAATCACGACCCTGTCGTTCAGAGACCACGGTGTATACACCTGCGTCGCTGGAAGATCTAACGCGAATTTGACGTTACTTGTGAAGCCAAGACCTGGAGAGTTCCCTTCTAGCGAAGAAATCGAGCGGCATAAGGCTTTAGATGAACCGTCATCACCTTTATCCGACAGGTTTGTCTAACCGGTTTTGGTAGTTCATAAGAATTCCATAAAGTTTATAGAAATTTGGAAACGTGCTTAGAAAGGGAAGTTGGAGAATATCGCCAATGACGAGAAAATTGTTGTGGTAAGTTATTGTGGTATGAGAATGTAGGGTGAAGAGAAGGTCATGGTGCTGTCAAAAAGACCCAAGGTTTGAAAGTAGATGATAATTTAAAGAGGGTCCTAAAAAGCTTTGAATGGACTGTATGAATGATATTATAGGAGATACATATGGGTAGGACATACTGTGCCTTAAATTTATAGAATGACCAGATATACCAGGTATGAAATGGTTGCTTATAGCAAAAAGTATAGGATCGTCATTACAAATGCTTCCATTGAATCATATCACTTATGAGCTAGTGATATAAAAAATCGCGCTTCTAGCGATGTCTCTTAATATAAAATATTTTGCGTTTATTATTCATTCATTGTCTGTATTATGCGATTGCATGCAGCAGAGATGCGAATGTTGCGATGGAGTAACGAGAATGGATAGAATACGGAATGAATATGTTAGAGGAAGTCTGAAAGTGGCACCTGTGATAGAGAAGCTGAGAAGTGCGTGTTTGGGATGGATATGTGACGAGATAAAATGAAAATGATGTTGGTAAGAGAATGTTAACTATGAATGTGGAAGGATATAGAGGAAGAGGTAGACCTAAAAAGAAATGGATGGATTGCGTGAAAGACGATATGGGTAAGAGGGGAGTGAACGAAGAAATGGTATATGATAGAAGAGTATGGAAGGAGAAAACATGTTGCGCCGACCCCAGGTGACTGGGAGAAGGGCAGGGTAATGATGATGATATTTATTTATTCTCTGTTATGTATTTTGAAGAGTGTTATCTAAGGCTTATTCAACACGTATGTCTTATATACTCAACACTTTTCCAATATACTAACAGCAGAGCGGATGGCAGATACAGAGCCATGACCGGTGGAGCTTCAGATGATCAGTCTCACGAACAACGACCTGGAGACCAAAGAAAAAATTACAAGAACCGCCAGAAAAGTGAGTAATAGTTAGCACGAAGGGACATTTCAATTTTGTACGGGTTTTTCAATGGCTCTGTATATAAGTAAAGTAAAAGAATTTTTTTTATTGCTTAGATGAGTGAACGAGCTCACAGCCCACCTGCTGTTAAGTGGTTAATGGAGTCCATAGACAACTACAACGTAAGTGCGCTACTCACCTTCAGATATAAGTCCTAAGGTCTCGATATAGTTTCAACGGCGGCCCACTCTTCAAACCGAAACGCATTACTGCTTCGCTGTAAAAAAATGGTGGTATCTACCCGTGCGGACTCACAAGAGGTCCTACCATCAGTAATTACGCAGATTATAATTTTGCGGGTTTGATTTTGATTACACGATGTTATTCCTTTACTGTGGAAGTTAATCGTGAACATTTATTAAGTACGTATTTCATTAGGAAAATTGGTACCCGCCTGCGGGATTCGAACACCGCTGCATCGCTAGATACGAATGCACCGGACGTCTTATCCTTTTAGGCCACGACGACTTATTGACGACGACGATTTAAAATGAAATAGTATGTTTTTTATTACTTAGACAAGTAGACGGCCCGCCTGGTGTTAAGTGGTTGCCGGAACCCATAGAACGTAAACACCGTCACCCACCTCAAGCCATTGACTATCTCAATGACATTACATAACCACTGCCCACCCTACAAGATGGAACGCATGACTGACTGAATTAGGCACGATGGTGGTACATACTACGGGCTTACAATATATCTTACTTAATCCATAAAAAAAATATAAATACGATAGTAGCTCTATACCTTTCCATAACCAAATCCGAGAACCAATTTTGACGAAATTCTGTACGGAAATAGATTGGGGCCTGCGAAATAATATAGGCTACCTTTCAGCCCACTATTGAACACGGGTATCCGCCCACGTGATGTAAAGTATAGCCCAATCGAGCGAAGCTACGGGCAGAAAGCTTTATATTATGATGTATATCGTATTTTTCAACTCGTAAATACTTCTTTGTACCTATTTAAGTACAAATATTTAAACGGTGGTCTATTATGTTTAAAAATAATAGAACGTGACTTACTGCAGCGAACACTTCATTCTCAAGTCATTGAATTTATAAAATGCAAATTTTCATATTTAATACACTAATGGTTCTTCGAAGTTTTTATTTATTTTTTATTACTTATATGAGTGGACAACCTCACAGCCCACCTGGTGTTAAATGGTTACTGGAGCCCATAGACATCTCCGACGTAAATGCGCCACCCACCTTGAGATGTGAGTTCTAAGGTCTCAGTATAGTTACAACGGCTGCCCCATCTTACAAACCGAAACGCATTACTGCTTCACCGAAGAAATAGGCAGGGCGGTGGTACCTACCCGCGCGGACTCACAAGAGGTCCTACCACCAGTAATTACGCAAATTATAATTTTGCGGGTTTTTTTTTTACTTAAGTCCACGAGTATATTTCAGCTACATAAAAAAATATAGATAGATGAATTCTGTCGGGACGTAAACAAGTCTTGTGTTACATTTAATTTTAAATTTAAATATTGTCTAGCAGGTAAAACTGATAAAGTAAGAGAAACATTATACAGCCAGACGGCCACTACAAAAGCAACGCCCAGCTTCAATCCCCAAGCCAGAGATATTTACGACGAAAATGAGGTGAGTGAAACAAGCGATTACAATTTAAAATTTAATGTTTTTGGTGTATACAAATCAGCGTATTATGAGGAAATGTATGAAGTAATGAAAGCACTGATTAATTATCTAAACAATAAAAAGTCTAAGTTAAAAAATAAATCGTTGTAAATAGCTGGTATTCTTTCTTGGAACTATATTATTCAAACGAAAGATGAAAAGGACGGTGGTTTTTTGTATTTAGTTAAATATTTTTACATTAAAACGGTTAACTTTTATAGTTCGGTGATACATTTGATTGAGTCGTAAATTTAGACAATTTTTATTTGAACTTGAATGAAGGAATCTACTGAAATAAATCGGAAGTTTCTGTTTTTGTTAGAGTCCCGATATTGTGACCTCTACTCAAGTCAGCTTTTTATAATTTGCTTATCACTAGTGGTAGGAGATCTTATGAAATCGCACGTAGATAGGTAGGTACTACCGCCCTGCCTATTTCTGCTGTGAAGCAGTAATGCGTTTCGGTTTCAAGGGTGAGGCAGCGTTTGTACTGTAAAAACGGAGATTTTAGAACTCTTGACTCAAGGTGGATGGCGATATTTAGGTTGATGATGTCTATGGGCTCCGGTAACCATTTAACACTAGGCGCACCGTGTGAGCTCGTCCATCCATCTTAGCAAAAACAAAAAAAATAGATGTAGAATTTAATTTAGACGAGATGGTTCGACTTTACAATAATCATGCTTCCTTTATTTAACACCAGATCTACCTAATCTAAAACGCATTTAGCGTTTTATAAATCAACATTTGATAAATCAACTGGCTATTCAAAGTTAAATTAATTAGGTCATAATTTATGATTGAAAACAAACTTGTTTCTAATTACAGTTCGCAGAAATTCTATCTAAAACAATAAAACAAAAATAACAACGCATTACCATACCTCTATGAACTCCCCTATAACTACACTATTTATTAACGAAATATTTATGTGCAATACAAAATTTTCAATCAATCAATCAATGTTTGCGCACGAAGGAACATAATGATAAGATAAACGAAATAAATATTAAGTAGCTACCAATGATGATGATCTTGACTTAGGAAACTTTTTAAAGTTTTTAAAATTAGCTGTTTTATAATATTATTCATTGCTTTGATTCAGTTAGAGGAAGTCTGAAAGTGGCACCTGTGACAGAGAAGCTGAGGAGTGCACGTTTGGGATGGTATGGACATGTGATGAGACGAAATGAAAATGAGGTTGTTAAGAGAGTGTTAACTATGAATGTGGAAGGATTTAGAGGAAGAGGTAGACCTAAGAAGAAATGGATGGATTATGTGAAAGACGATATGGATAGGAGGGGAGTGAGCGAAGAAATGGTATATGATAGAAGAGTATGGAAGGAGAAAACATGTTGCGCCGACCCCAGGTGACTGGGAGAAGGGCAGGATAATGATGATTTCATTGATTCAGTATATCCAGCAGTACAGACACGGGAGAATGTCGCTGAAATAAATAATACACTCCCCCTACTACAAAGCTTACGTTTCTCTATACAAGCAATAACAAACTTTATGAATGACATAAAATGGATTGTAAATTTAATGCGCGTTCGTACAATTGTGTAGACTTTTAATGGAGACATAAAATTCTGTGATGAATTCGAATGTAGGAACTGTGTTAACTAAATCTGTATTAATTTCAAACTTTTCGTTGATGATTAAAATAAATTGGATGAGTAATTAACAGAGTTAGTCGCTGTGAGACCTAAAGAACACTACCAACTTCGTGTTTAATTGTTCATCTCCGAACATTATTGTCCAGAACTCTAAGAGATAAAGACACAAGTTGTATAAGTTTTTAACTATAATTTTTAAAGTGTCGTGTTTGATCTATTTATGGCCTAATCTCTTAAAATCGAATATCGTATTAACTATTTGATATGGTTATGGTTATTGGATATGGTGTCTTGGGACGCCCGATACAAGTGATAACTAAAACTAATCTAAATTGAACTATTTAATATTGAAATTGTTTAACATGTGAAAAGCTTAGGTTATTACTTAACTTTTATGTATATTAATGTAAGGATAGTTGTAACAGAACTTGAAAAGAATATATATAAACAGTTAGGAGTTAAACACGCTCTTAATGCCGCTGACGTATGCGTGAGAGAAAGGGAAGACAGACATACTGGCGCCGTAACGCGTTACGTAACGAAGCTTTTTTTTTCCTACCTAAGCTGATAGCCTTGTGAAGCTATTTCAGCGTAACCTTAACTAGTAGGTGAGTTCACGGGGCTCAAACCTGACGACGCTGCTAACACGAACCCTAGCAAGAGCCGTGCTTCGCAGAATCTACCACCGGATCGGAAACGCGACCCACTGAGAAGATCCGGCGAGAAACTCGGTGGGCTATGTCTGTGGGTTAATTTACTCGTCGAGCCCTTCGTCGCAAGCGACGGGTTCGACGAGAACGATGACCGGTGCTTGGGGTACCTAAAAGCACCGTTAGTGGATCGGGAGGATCCGAAATGATGTGAACGAAGCGGCATACTATCTCATAAGAAGTTATCACTTCAATATACAAAATACAGAAACACCGTCCTTATTAAAGTATGTTACAAATTACTGAATCCTCTATAATATTCATCGCGATACCTCGATAGTTCAAAGATTTTTATGCACCAAAAATTTAACTATTTACTTAATGAGTTCTTAAAAATCGCACGCTGCTTTCGGACATTATAAATTGAAGGAAAGTGCTGTGTCTTCACGGATGCTACCGCCCAAACGTAGCAGTGCCGGCAGGCTTCTGCCTTGCCTCCATTACATAGTCATGCAGCTTCAGGTGAGGAGTTACCGAAATAGAGGTTTTGGAGTGCCTTGTTTGCCTTACGTTTTGGCGTTCGATGGTTTTGTCACTGGTTTTTATAAAGCTAAATGCGCTCACGGTTATTATGAGTACGCTTTAATTAAATTTGCTGAAAATACGATCTGGATTACCGTTGTATAAAGCGCAACAATAGTATTTCTCGAAATTTGGATTTCGAAGATTCCGTTCCGATGTCTAGCTTTCTCGCACGCCGTAATATTATAATACCTTTGTTTTTCGGGCCGAAGGCCGAGCCTCTTACAAGGTTCACGCAACTAGGGGGCGCGCGGGGTACGTGGTACTAGTCTGCCACTGCAAAACCAGCGGACCCAAGGATAATTTCAGGACCCTACCCACTAAACGACTCCCCTGCACCCTTCGCCCAAACGTCCGATTTCATCCGAGGTCAGAACCCGGATGAGGTAAGGGGTTTACCGCGGTCAACACTACAACCAGACGGCGCAGCTCACCCCGATGACGCCCGGCCCACGGAGCCTTCGAGGCGAATCGAAGACTATCAAACGTCAGCCGTCTCGGTACGGCAGCCCGTCAGGCCGCCCAGATGATGCCGCTGGTGTCCCGAGATACCCCGCTGGACCAGAACCCGCCTGCCGGGTCGGGACATGAATCTTCTCTCTCCGCATAGCATGTCCACGCGTTTGTAATAGATAGTAGTAGTAATTGACTTGTGACCAACCTGTGGTGATGTACTGTACTGCGCGAGTACCAGCCATGAGTAAGTTACCCTGCGGTCTACCAACCGAATAGCTTAATGCGGTACATACCACAATTATAATTTATTAACGAACTAGCTGACGCGGCAGACTTCGTAGTGCCTCAATCGATAAATAAAAGACCTAAACTTTTGTAGAAAATAAACTTAAAACAAACAAAAGGAATCCTTCCGACGGGGGACACATCAAAGGAAAAACAAATTGTTATTTTTATTCAATTCCGAGCATTTTCATATTTAACTGCATTTTAAACCTTGTCTGGACTTCTACAAATAATTTAAGACCAAAATTAGCCAAATCGGTCCAGCCGTTCTCGGGTTTTAGCGAGACTTACGAACAACCAATTCATTTTTATATACCTATATATAGATAGATAAAAACCTGACACAAAATTAAATATCAATGCAGTGACAAAACAACTAAACTCCAAAAACTTAAGGCAAAAATGAGGCCCTAATTAATTGGTATCGGTGTGCATCTTGGCATGACAAGTTCTTCTCATCATTAACGGTAACTTATGCTGTTGAGATTAGCTCGTTTCGGTGTTTTTTTTTAAGCAATTGCTTAAAGGTGTTGTATTAATCAGTATGTGAATGCTATTTCATCATAAACTCAATTTTTTTTAAAAAGCAATAAAATATAGAATAAATATGCCATAGTGACAGTATTTAGAATGACAAGAGACGTCACTACAGACAAATGAAGCTGAATATTTATTTCTCAGACCATTAGTTTACCTAGTTGGGAACTTGTATAGTGAAAGGATCGGTTTTATTTTGCAATGTACCTCGACATTAGAGGTATTGGATCAGTCATATAATAATATAATATATTATAAGATATTTTTTTGGATTGTTAGAAATATAAGATTTTTTTTGGATTTTTTTCTGAAAACATAATACAGTGCAGCCTTAATATAACGAACCTCAATATAACGACGACTTCGATTTAACAAATTCTTCGTTATACCCTGAATTTTTTTTTTATAAATGTCAATGTAAAATGTACATTGCGAAAATTTCTTGCAAACAACATCTTTATAACAAATTTTCAACTATCAAAGAAAGTGTTGAAAAACCTCTAATTATCGAATTTTGTCAACCCAAAACCTTTATAATATTACGTTCACCAATGACCATAGATTATACACTTAATATATTTCCAATGACCCTTAATTCCATAGCATGCGAATCAGACTCGACAGGTCTGAGAAAAATTGTTGCCTACCTAACTGTTTTTAAATAGAAAATTCATACAGTAATTTGATAAAAATGTGTTATTATATAAATAATAATAGTAATAATAATAGTAGAAGTTGTTCGTTAAACGCAAAGTTGAGGTGAATAAAACTATTTTTTTACCTCCTTATAACAAATGGTAGACCAATCTATCCTTAATATAACAAACCTCAGCTTACCGAATTACTTGGTATAACGAATATTTACTAGTTCCCTTCTAATTTGTTATATCGAAGTTGCACTGTATATTCTTCATCGGTCCGGACCCCAAACAAAAGAAAGTACACACCAATCCGTAGGTATAGAAGACGGAAACCTTACACCTCTCATCTCAAGCACCACTCTGTGGTCTATTATTATATTATTCTATTGATATTCGATGAAATAGCATATTAGCAATCTTTTTTTCACCAATTAATCACGTTACCATATTAACCTTCACAGCATTTTGTGAAGAATAACTTTTGATAACCATAACATGTTTTTTTATTGTTAGATACTTCATTATTTCATTTTCTATCATCAACCGAATTCATTATTTCAGTTACCTAATAACGAATGGATAATTTTTAGAGGATTCCTTATCATATTTTTTTATTGATTTGACTTCATTATTTCATTTTCTTTTACTATCATTATCAACCGAATTCATTATTTCAGTTACCTAATAACGTATGGATAATTAAGTTTAGAGTATTCGCTCCGGTTTCGGATATCATATTGTATGTTTTTTTTCGAGAACATCTATAATTGATATTTGCAGATGTTTTGGAATTTTCAGACCGTAGGCAACTCGAGAGGACAACGGACTGTCGATCCGATACTGATGTACCAGAACTACGGTTCGCAAACGAATCGAATTTTAAATTATGAGGACAAACAGATCGTATTCCCCGAAGATGACGATTCTGATATCATAATCGTGAACGAAGATTACGCTAAGCAGACGTATAAAGAAAACGATTTGAATTTAAAAGAAAATCTTCTTGAAGTTGAACCTACTACTGAAACGAGGTAACAATAGAAACAATCCTTGTAAGAAGTTTTTTGTCGATTGCTTACATAAATGGACACATCCAGCTGATGTAAGCAAATATAGTTACGGGATGCCTTGGACATCTGAAAGTAAATCCCACAGGGCTTAATACCACTTCTTCTTTGTCTCCACTTTATCCCACTAGGTGGGGTCGGCACAGCTAATTTTTCTATTCCATTCTCCTCTATCAGCCGTCATCTCAACACTCACTCCTCTCTGTCTCATATCGTCATTCGCACGCTCCATTCATGTCTTCTTCGGTCGACCTCTTCGCCCTCTACCTTGCACTACCATTTCCATATATGTCCTAGTCACATTAATCTCATTTCAATGCATGACATGTCCATACCACGCTAACCGTATCTTTCACCAATCGTTCTTTAATATATCAATCACTATGTGTATTGTGGGCTCACGCCAATTGAACCATGTCTGACAAAAAATTTGCAAAGTTTTGCGTATCGAGTTAACGCTTACAGTTAAAATCAACCTCACACCACAATGGTGGCGTGCTGCCGTAATCAAACACCAGATGGACTATGTATTCTGCTCTCTATGAACAATAACTTCTAGTAGAAACAATCATTGAATTAAGCTGAAGTAACTGTCGTTTGAATTATTGAATACTCTGATTGTTGCTATTAAATATTTTGAGCACTTATCAATATTCTTTGACAGAATTACCACAGCTTCGGACATAATGGAATACGCTTGGAAGACAACGGACTGGTCTCCTTGCAATGCTGTATGTGGGCAAATCGGTCACCAAGTTAGAGGAGCCATGTGCCAGGTATCAAAATATTAATATCTCGGGTTAATATGGTGGTATTAACCCAAGATTTTGATGATTTCATAATATGTCTAGGGATGATAGGTTATTTAGTTTAAGCGACATTCATCTATGAAATTAAAGGTCCGTTTTATTAAAATTTGGTACTAGTATCAACAGTACGATGATAATTGAACTTCAATTAAGCTTAACGCATTCAAATAGCTGAAGATGTTTTTTGTTATGCTATTTTTTTAAAACTTTAAACCTTCAATGGCTTTGTCTGCAAAATTGCAAAAATGTCCTTTAACCCAAATAGGCTTTCACTCGTCAATATTATTTCAAATATTAGCTTAATTAGCTCCCAAATCTACCAATTTCACCCTTCCATTCCACCTAACAGCATAAAACAGTGAATCAAACGACAACGGTCGAAACCGAAGAATGCCTATCCAGAGGTTTGATCCCTCCGAAGGTGGTGCTCGAGTGTGGCGGAGACAATTGCGCCAATTGGAAAACTTCGCAGTGGTCATCACGTAGATGCCTCAGGAGTGGAACTGGTAATCATTGAGTAACTTTGATGTTTTTTATTTTATTTTATGTATTTTCACCCCCCGGGATGAAAAGTTCGCTTTTAGTCCCTGGCGCGCGGTACAAAAGTACCAGATTCTCTCCCGGTGAGACTGAAAATGTGCGCATACGCGTACCTTTCTTTATTTCCCGGTAACTTAGAAACTGCATGTCTATATCTTTATGTTAATGGAAGCTTGATCAAGAATTGGTAATTTTTTTGTCATAACATACAATTATAATAAAAAATGGATTCGAATAACTCGAGTGATAGTGATTTAGACGAAGAAGATATTATAAGAAATTTAGAACTAGAAGGAATAACTATTACTAATAAACTACTTCCAGCAAAATCCAGACAATTATAATAAAAAATGGATTCGAATAACTCGAGTGATAGTGATTTAGACTGAGAAGATATTATAAGAAATTTAGAACTAGAAGGAATAGCTATTACTAATAAACTACTTCCAGCAAAATCCAGACAATTATAATAAAAAATGGATTCGAATAACTCGAGTGATAGTGATTTAGACGGAGAAGATATTATAAGAAATTTAGAACTAGAAGGAATAGCTACTACTAATAAACTACTTCCAGCAAAATCCAGACAATTATACGAGAAGCGATACAGTCAATTCAAAAATACTGCTAAATCCATCTTTAATAAGTGCTAATATTTGTGCCAAATACAGGCTAATAATTATTTCCCTTCCTCTTCTGTATATAAAAGAGTACATATAAGAACTTTTCATCCCGGTTGAAAAGAAATTGTATAAGCACCTAGGGAGAAAGGTAGAACATCCCCACCCGCGATTGTCACCCTCGCCCTCGGTGCGTAATATACTATTATGTATTATTTTATGTATTTTATATACTTAAGTATGTATTTTATTTAATAATGTGTTCTTAATAGTACACTGCAACATACCTGCTGTATCTTTATCTGTCCAGAATTTCGGGTAATCAAAAGTTTATCTGGAAGAGATCGCTTTTAGCGATAAGACCGCCTATTGTACAAACGTTTCTGGTTGTTGACTGTTTTCTGATGTTAATTGTGTTTTGGTGTGTAATAAAGTATGTTCTCTCTTCTCTCTCTCTCTCTAACTTTTGTGACTTGCTGAAAAAACCTTGATAAGCCCAAATCCCGTTTATATTAGAGTACAATGTTTTAGCTATAATTCGTCGTCGAGTTGATTGCACTGCTGACAATGGAAGCGTCTTGCCGCAATCCTCATGTGACTTCACAACGAAACCCGAGAAGATCAGAAAGGACGGAAAGCCGTGCACGGCGACTTGGGACGTGGGTCCTTGGACTAAGGTACAAATAATTTCATCATTTAAATATGTTAGGGGAAATTTTGGTGCTAGGTTCTCTTGTGAGTCCGCGCGGGTGGGTACCACCACCCTGCCTATTTCTGTCGTGAAGCAGTAATGCGTTTTGGTTTGAAGGGTGGGGCAGCCGTTGTAATTATACTTGAGACCTTAGAACTTATATCTCAAGGTGGGTGGCGCATTTACATTGTAGATGTTTATGGGCTCCAGTAACCACTTAACACCAGGTGGGCTGTGAGATCGTCCTTCGATCGCAACCTTCTGATAACACAGGGAATCCTAAACTGGGGCCTTATTATTATTTCATTTGCCAAAGAAAACTACTTTATTATATCTGCTGTCACAGTGTAAGGGTGAATGCGGTAGTCGTGGCAGACAACACCGCACCCTGCGCTGTGTGTGGCGCGCGGCAGGCGGGACGGGCGCGCGGGGGCCACCTGGAGAGAGGGGGGCGCGGGGCGCTGGCGTCGCTTGCCGTGACCTACGCCGACCGGCAGTGTTGAGAGACTGTCCTCTACAGCACTGTGTAAGCAATGGTCAGTTTCGAATTTTGAATATAAATCTACACACCAAGTACTTATTTTCTTCTCCAAAGGAAAATTACCTAACTCACCAATTTTAGTGTTCCCTAAAATACCTTCAGTCTACTTAAAGGTAAGCGGAATGTACTGTTAGTAAATATGTGAAGTCTGTATATAGACTTAAAATGAGAACTAGAATAAATCGTTTGGAAAACCAATATTGGTGTGAATAATTCTTTAGAATTCAGTGATTCTCAAACTTTCATTCCAATACACTTTGAACGATATAAAAAAAATAACGGCACTCAAAAAAAAAGATATACCTAAGAGCTGTTAATGTAAAACCTTATAATACACTACTTAAAATAGAATATTTAGAATTTGAATTGTAAAATTTGGCAATACACTTCAAAAATTTGACGAAACACAAAAGTGCTGCATCAAAAGTTTTCCGAATCACTAAACTCTAAATAAAAGTGACGCGAACATGCGCGTGCACTCATTGTCTGACCTGTGTGCTTAGTGCGAGTTTTTAACAATCTCGATAGCGTAAAAGTTAGCTCATATTTGTATGGAATGGGATCGTTTGCGTACGTTCACCGCTAGGGGCGCTGTTCTAACTGCATACAAAATCGGCTTAACTTTTACGCTATCGAGAACGTTAAGAAACTCGCACTAAGCACACTGAACGATAAAACAGCTTACACGATAAAATTTAAACTTCAACCTCATATCTCAAGGAGGTGACTAACATCCGCGTCGTAAACTAAGCTGTTTAAATAAATCAATATTCCAGTTTATGCCAAAAATGCAGACTGACTTTGAACTTCACATTTCACTTTGAATCCATCTAGGTAGCTGCCGTAGTGGGTCGTGTTTCCGATCCGACGGTAGATTCTGCGAAGCACGCCTCTTTCCAGGGTTCGTGTTAGCAACATCGCCAGGCTTGAGGCCCGTGAGCTCACCTACTAGTTAAGGTTACGCTGATAAGGTCTCTCGAGACCATCAGATTAGGATTAAAAAAAAATTGATTTGATAATGACTTAATTTATAATCTCGACCACTAGATGGCGTGTGCAGGGACACGTCGCGATTCTGCGAGAACGTCAGGGCAATGAACATGTGCGCCTTGAAGAGATATAAGGAGCAATGCTGCAAGACTTGTTCCGACTGAATCCTTCCCCGACGGTTCCGTGAATTAAAAAAAAAATTGTGACATTAGAAGTGACGTTTGTGTAACGAATGAAAATGGCGGTAGTTTTATTTAGTTGGTTAATTTTTGATTGGTGATGTTTTGTGGCATTTTGAAAAGCAATGGAGAGATTTTGCAGTAAATAATCGAAACAGTTTGGCGGTCTCGTTGTAATTAATTTAGTATTTTTCGTGTGCCATATCGCGCCGCAAAGCATTGCAATTTAGATCTGATTTTTTTGTTGTTGTGATAAATGCGTCGTAATTTTCTCTGGGATTTTTAATAATCATATTGATTATTTTTATTTGTTTTGGTAGTCGCAATTATTTAATTATTATTAAATAAATTTTATATGTAACTGAATATTAATATGATAAAAGCTAACCAGTTAAATCGGCGTAAACACGTGCGACCTCTTCAGAAGTCGAGGTTCAAATGTCCGATTTTCATTCCAATCCTACTAATGTTGCATAGCGGTAACCTACCGACCCTAATGATAGCACCTAATAATTTTGTAAGTAAATAATACATTTTTCTTACCATCAAACTAATAGGAAAATGATAAGGTTAAGTAAATCTATCACTACTGATGCGTTCAAATAAAATGCACAAATAATTAACATCGCGTTAGTGAACTCGATCTTTTTACATGATTTATTACATGACTCAAAAATTTGCGTTTACGAACCGTATGACGCCTGAGCTAGAGAAAAAAATAAAGTCCAAATTCTGAAAAAAAAATCAGTAAAACTGACATTACAAATGGACGAAAAGAAAAGCGCTAAGAGAAAATTTGATAAGGGTTCCTTTGAAAAGGTTGATAGCGCTTCAAGATTATTTTCCCTTTTTTTATATAAATGAACAAGGGTAGACACGAGATCTAATAGTTAATAAAGCATTTCTTTTTAATTCATCAGATTTCATTCGCTTGAACACAGAACATGTTTGATAAGAAAGAAAATTTAAGTCATTTGTCATTTAAGTCGTAACTTCAAGTTGAATCGCGTTTGCTTATTAACAGCTTACTAGCAACTTATGGACAGTATTAATGATACCAGCGTGGGCTATTAAAAATCGATCGACATTGCATAGTCCTAGTAGGATTTAAACACTTTTGTTTCAATCCCGGTCCTACTTTTAATTAAATACTTTTGAACGCATCAAACTACACTAAAGTATAATGTTTAAATTAAAAAAAAAATAGGAAAATTTTGTTCTTATTTAAATTAAGCACAATTGTTTATAGTCTCTAGTCGTAAATTGCACTGATCGAGGACTATAATGGTTATTGCAACGTGTAATTGAATTAAAATTACACAATACATTGCCAAACGAACGGTTCTAACAATTATAATAGATATTTCAATATTCAAATTGTGAAATTTGATAAAAGTCCTCAAACAATAAAAAACAATTTCAGTAGTTCCGCATTAACAGTTAATTGAAGTAGGTAATTCAAAATTTTAGCTACTTTAAAAAATAGTTTTATCTATTGTTGACAGAGTATAATGAAAACCAAGCCAGATAATTACTACAAAAACTATCAGCTATAATGTAGATGTTTTTTTCTTTGAAAACTCCGAGTCCTCGAAATGATTACATGTAGAAATAAATTTTGTACTATTATATAGTATTTGAAATAAATGTAAATAAATATATTTATATTAATAAAACTTTGGCACTGTGCTACGCTTAGCTCATTATATTAAAATAAATGTAATGCACAAAGACATTGAAATCAGAGCCAAAATGCACAGCAAAAATGACATAATGTTACTCTAGACAAGTCAACTAGCGAATGGAGTGCCAATGGGCGTTTATTACGTAACAGTAGTATTTATAATTAGGAAGGAAGGATTACTGGTCCTTACAGTTTCACCAAGACAGGTGGGATTTGCTAACAGCTGCCCGAGCGCCTCCAAAGAAGACCTAACAACTCAAGAGCAACTGCTTCGCGAATCAATCTATAATAACATTGAGAGTACTGATAGTGAATCCGAAGGAATTGAGGATTTATAATTTTTTTGTCAGATTGTATCACTTTTCGAAATAAATAAATCAATGCGTAAACATTTTTTTTTCTCTAACTATAATCTAACAACAAAAAGTTATATAAAAAATAAAATAAAAAGAATAATCAAAATAAGCAACTCACAATAATTGTTTTAACAGCTCTTAATAGATACCGGACTGTTATTATTTCGTGCGAAAGGGACAACGCTCTACAAAGCCGAAATTAGCCGAACGTCTCTTTCTAGAGGTCGATTTGCATTATTTCTTGCATTCACTGCACTGCACTCTATGAGCATCCAGCGAGACAACAGACAGCCTACTTCTCTACACCAAAAACATTGTGTATTTCCGTGTATTTAGCTCTGATTTCTTTAATAATAAAAATATTGTATAGAAATAAAAAATATATATATATTATGGTAGTTGAAATTGCCAAAAGCGTTAGTCGTGTACAAAGACACTGTCAATTTTTTTTTCTGTTCAATTTTAATCACGACTGTTGAACATAGTTTATAGTATATGTATATTTGGAATGTAATTAGATATAAAAATATATTATAATTGAAATATAGGATAATTCCTGAGAGCAATACGATTCGCTTAATTTGTAAATAAAATGATGCATATACATACATACATATAATTGTTATTATTATAATTTAATCATGTAAATCACAGTATATAATATTATGTACTATTTTAATTATAATCTAGAGCAATAAAACATTGCAGTATTATAATTAGACAAAAATGTTTAAAGAAGCAGTTTTATTTTTTTTGTTACTTTTAAAAATGTTTACCTTTGGTTTAAAAACACTTTTACGACTACGTCACAGTTTTCAAAACTTCTCGTGTTAAAATCGTAAAAATGCTTTTAATCGTCACACGTAACTGATTTAAATTGTGTAAAATAAAAGCTTATGTTTCTAGAATCAGTTGAGGCTGTCAGTGCAAAAGTGGCCCTTAATTTTACCATAGTATGGAGATAATGAGGTTCGAATTTACTTTTACGTAGGCAAAAAAACAATACGCGCAAAATAATAATCCCAATGCCATCTGTTATCTAGGAGTCAAAATATGGATAGGCGGGTTTTGCTTTAAAAATGTATAATATTATAAATAAATTACAATATATATAAGTACGAATATGAATTTTTTTGGGCTAGGTCACTTTTGCACAGACCGCCACAATTATTAGATGATATTGTCAATTATTGCCCGCTATCGCTAAAGTAATGCGACCGATACAGTCTTTAATATAGCAAAAAATCATTAACAAAACATATTAATATATTTCTTGTTGTTTTTCGCGAAGCCGCATTGTAACACAAAGACTGTTAATGGACGTTGACCCCGCGTCTCAGCTTATTCTAATAGCATTGTATTACATTGCTGTTTACTGCGTAACGTCATCTATCTCTATCTATCTAACGCGTTAGACAGGATCAACGCTATCATAGATATATTCATATTCGGAAAGATTACACATACACGGCACGAAGTTATAATTGGGACGAACATTTTTTTTAAATGATGATGATTTCTACAAATACCCTCACGATATAAATCTCTGAATGTCTCTTGGAAATCATTGTGAATCAGACCTACTGGCTTGACGATAAAACAAGCCCTATGTTAAGTTCATAATTGACTTAGTAAATGAAATTTTAGTATTACGTGTTAATTAACTGTCAATTGTTGTTACTGTTACAAAAATAATATCCAAAGTAAGCGGCATTACTATGATTTACTTTGTTTTAGTTAAGGGGGACCGCAACTGCGGTGTAATGTACATTTTAAACGATTTTTAACTTTATTCCGAAAGGGCATTACGGTAAAATTTTGCTTTTATTTCGTACAGTTGAGTAATTGAAGACACGAAATCCTTAGTATCGTTTCCCTGACCGTTAAATCGTCTGACCTATTGTGCCACAGAAAGGAGATTTATTTTCCTATAAACGGCTAGACAAGCTCATGGTTGCTCAACGTTGCTAAAACAACCACCCATGAAACATGACATCTAAATCTTTATACATAGTATACCAGTTGTTCAATCCTTAAAATAGCTCAATCTTACAATTGAATCTGGAATTAACTAAACGCTAAAATTATTTCTAAAAGCTGTTATTGTTGTCTCTTTCTAATGCTCGCGTTAGAGAGAGACAGAGGAGCTTTTCGGGCGGGTAGACATCTAATGCAAGTCAAATGCCATGCATCTAATGCCCGGGACTTTTGACTGAGATGTAGGTAGCAGTTAATCAGCAGTCATATTAATTACTAGTTACACTATGTGCTATTGGCTCTGCGTATCCAAATAACATTTTTTTTTCCTACCTAACCGATGCCTAAGGCCTCATTCGCACGGGTAAGTGTAAGTGTTCGATTAGTGATTTTTACTTTCATTTTTATCACTAACCCACAAAATGACAAAACTAAATACACTATCGGTGATGCTTATCGAAAACAATACGCATCACTATGCCCGTCCATAAGGCCTGTGAGTGGATTTTTTTCCCCCTACCTATGCTGATAGCCTTGAGAGGCTATTTCAGCTTCGCCCTAACGTTTGTAGGTGAGCTCGCGGGGCTCAACCGGAGAGTTGCTAACACTGACCCTAGCAAGAGCAGTGCTTCGCAGAATCTACCACCGGATCCGAAACGCGACCCACTGAGAAGATCCAGCGAGAAACTCAGTGGGCTAAATGTGAGTGGAAGAGAGAGTGAAATACTCGCTTCACCGCTCCGATTATTTATGACCCAAACTGCACCGTCAAAATAATTCTACTATAGTATATGTTCATACGTCAGCGCTTTTAAAACGCGACGCTTTTTTATTGCGCAGTGTTGCATTTTGAACGCTAAGCGTTGGGCGTTACCGATTACGTCACACCGAGAACGTTATAAAAACGCCAACGCCGAGTTTTAACGCAACGTTTTTAAAACGCTCGTGCGAATGAGGGCTAAGAGGCTATATCATCTTCGCGCGGACCGGTAGGTGAACTCACTTGGTCGACTTGAGACAATTTCTAACACTCACCCTAACAAGAGCAGTGCTTGAATGTACCACCGGATCGACATCGCGACCCACCGAGAAGATCCTACGAGAAACTCGGTGGGCTGTCTCTATCTACTAGGTCCCAAGTCGAACTAATAGTTCTAAGAACCGTGACCGGTGCTTGAAGACCCTAAACGCACCGTGAGCGGATCTGAAGGATCCGACAAGACTAATTTTGGGCAACGGTGGCTTTATTTTGTAATTAGCGGTGGTCACAATCATAGGGTTGAACTAAATAGTGCTTCAAAAGTCTAGCGCAATTTTAAATAATATATACATCTTGTATCATATGGAGCTCTGAGTAGTTGAAGAACCAATCTTCTCCAATCTTAGCCTTGGTAAGAACTCGTGTTCTAAATGTCCCACCCAAAGATGTTACCGTCAAAATACTTTAAAAACAGATGTTAATATAGTATGATACTTTGCAGATTACGTGTCTTTCTTTTGTTAAAACTAAAGTACAAAAGCAACAACTGTATTTTTTTTAAATTAAACATTTAGTTTTAATTAGGAGCTGTTGTATCTTGATTGTTATCGCCGGTGTCCGTGTATATTTTTAATGAATTAATGTTTCTGGAAAATATGAAAATACAATTATATCGATAAGTTACAGAAATATTCGTGTTTCATTTATCAATAACCTAATTAGATGGTAAGTAGATCCTTAGTTAACTAATTTATGGGCGTGGTTGGATATTTCACAGCCCCCTCGACGTTCATGACCCGGAAACCCACTGACACATGAGGTTAAAGTCTCAAGTAATCATCATCATTATCCTGCCTTTCTCCCAGTCACCTGGGGTCGTCGTAACATGTTTTCTCCTCCCATACTCCTCTATCATATACCATTTCTTCGCTCACTCCTCTCTTACACATATCGTCTTTCACGCAATCCATCCGTTTTTTCTTAGGTCTACCTCTTCCTCTAGAGAATTTTGATTTGCGGAAACCGATCAGTGGATCTGACTGATGTGGCCTCAAAATGC